CATGACCTTGGCTCACTCACCTTGCCTCGTCTAAGGTAGTTCCCGGCTGCCTGGAGATCAGAAGGTGGGCCCAGCAGCATGCAGCCGCAGGGCGCTGCGTCCAGTTGGATCAGTCCCTGCCGACCCGCCGCCTCACCGAAGCCCAGCGGTCGAATAGCGTCCCGGGCGCAGACTTCCAGGGCGTTGACAGCTGCAGTTTGTGCCTACAGCGTGGGGCTTCCGGGCGCCGCGGGGGCGGTCTCTCGCGCACCCACCCTAGCTTCTCAGGTGCCGGGTGGGCCCCGCCCCGATATCGCCAATGCTCGCCCGCATGTTTGGCTGGTCCAGGTGGTGAAAGCAATAGTTCACCTGGCTCGGGCCTCACCGACTTGTACGACAGTCAAAGTGCGGTGTGAGCCAGGTTTGTTGGCTTCCATAGGCTACAGAAGGCTGCACGAAGTCGACCTCCCGTGCTGGGTTGCAGATCGAAGCTGCGACGATGCCTCACTTGTATCTACTGGTCACAGGAGGAGGCTCCTTTGAGTGGGGGTCACATACGATTGGGAGCCTGGGTTCAGTTGCTGCTCATACCTTCTCTACTCTTTGTTCAGACATACGATTGGATGTTGACGAGAAGAGAGCTGATGTCCGAGTGGTGCTGCACGTACAGACGTTCGACAGAGGTCCCATACAAATTCAGCTGGCAGACCAGAAGCCTAGCAAGCATAGGTAGGTGTCTGAACATCCAGCCTCAAAACTTGGTTCCCACGTCGATGCCCTTCAGGCTGGCGACGGCCTATAGCCAACTCGTATATTTTTGACCATCGCTCAATCATGGCCAGTCCATCACAGAAAAGCCCCCCCTCAATGGGAAAAAGTGCAAATACCATAAACCAAAACACCCATCCCACAGACGACCGCCTCATGATGACGCCCCGCCACCGTCGCCCTTCAACCCGCCCGCCCTCCTGTCGAACCCCAAACACACAGCCGTGGCATAGTCCCCATCATGGCTGATCGACAGCAACGCGCTCTGCCCGCCTCCCGCCCCGCCAACGACAGCAACAGGCGGCCCGCTCCCGTGTCCCTCCCAGCCTTCAGGCTTCGAAACAACCACGTCCCCGAACCCCAGCCTCCAGAACGGATGCGCCTTGAAAGCCGCCTCCTTGGCCGCGAACCTGAACATCCTCCGTCAGCCTTTTTTTTCCTCCTTTCACTCAGGAACCCGGAGAAGTCCGCATCGGCATTTCAACACGCAGAAAGGGGCAAGGAAAGAGAAGGGGATGGCGCACCGTCCCGCCACAAACGTCGAACGTTTCCACCACTCTGGATGGTTCGCGCGCAGCACCTCGAAGCCGCCGTCGAGAGAGCCCGCCGGCGCCGGCAGCGGCCGCAGCTGCGTGGCCGAGGCCGCCGCGCGCTCCTCGGGCGTCAGCACGCGGTGGAGGAAGCGCGTGCCGCGGGGCCCCGTCAGGAGACGGAATATGCGCGAGACCTGGCAAATGTCGGTGCCAATGTTGAGGGGCAAGGGAAAGTGGTTCAGGGATTTCATCGCATGGGGACTACCGGCTCGATGTCTGGCGCGGCGCAGTCGCGTGTTGGAGTAACAGGGGGGGATTCAGGCTTTTGCAGGTGGGCGTTGTAGGTGCATCACGGACGGAGATGAGAGAACATGAATCGATGGGACCGGTGAAGCTCGGTGAGACACACATATCAAATGTGGATCTGTGGGGTTGATAAGAGCTTCTGGATAAGAGATGAGGACGTCATTCTCGTGTCCAAACGTTTGCAATGCTTCCCATACCCAAGAAAGATCAGGCGCAACGTGTAATTTGCCAGTCATCATGACGCTGTAAAATAGTCAATTTGCGCAGTGCAGATAATTCCCTGTGATCCAGCTATGTACAAGCAAAAGCTATCACGACGATGAAGCCCACTTGCCGCAACGAACATTCACCCCCGAAAAGAAAATGGCAACCACAGACCCCCTCTCGCAATTAGGTCGACTAATATGTTGTCACAACACACTCCCGATTCAAGTAGCTCAATCTCGTAGTCTGTTCTCAATGATGTGACGCCCAGAGACAAACGGACCAAGGACGCAGCATGATTTTCGGTTTTGATCCAACTCGTTGGAATGATTGGCTTAGTCGTCAGCAAGAAGAGGGGCACGCTCCGCATCAGCGGGAGCCGAACCACGGCCCCAGTTGGTCTCGCGGCCAGTCCAGGCAGGCACAGCGACGGCGAGCGTGGAAACGAAGAGGACCGACATGATGACGAACGCAAAGATCCACTGGAAGGCGACGATCTGGTGGAGGAACTGGCCGACGCCGATGGAGGCTGCGAGGACGCTGAGGGCGAAGCCGATGGTGTAATCCTGGGCCGAGTTAGCACATAGCCCAGATAAGAAAAAAAAAAGCTTGTGGGCGGTTACTTACCTTGTAGGCCAAGATGAAGAAGCCTCCGTAGGCCAGGATGGACCAGATGAAGATGTTGCCGAAGATGCGGGCCACAAGGGAGTCGGGGTGATGCACCATGATGGCGCCGTTCCAGTAGATGGCGACGAAGGTCCAGGCGAGGGGTCCGGCAACGGCGGGTGCGTGGATGAAGCGGGGGTAGGTGTTGTGGCGGAAGTAGAGCGAGGACAGGTTGATGAAGTTAATGATCAGGATAACTTCGGCCCAGGCGAAGTGGGAGCGGACGAAGAGCATGACGAAGGCAAAGTGCAACAGGTTGTTGAAGATGAAGTGGCTGCCGACACTGGCAGCAGCCTGAACATTGTCGGTGTTCTTCGAGAACAGGTGAGCGACGTAGCCGATCTGGAAAATGAAGAGGACGATCCTAGGCGTTGTCAATTGCGCGTTGGCTTGCGTCCGTCAGGGACGACTACTCACCAGTAGATGCTGGTAATGAGGGAGTTCAAGGTGAAGGCCGTGGGGTACAGACGGTTCTGGTCCCAAATGCTTTTGCGGATGGTAAAGCCATCATGAGGGGTGTACAGAACATAGTAAAACGAGACGATGACAGACAAAAGCCACGACAAGATGGTCAGAACCTTGTATGTGGTGATTGAGCCAGCGCTGTGCGTCTCCTTCTTGGCGAAGGGGTTGACTTTAGGAATCAATGCATGTCAGCTTCATTTGCTTCGAGGATTTGGACGCACAGTTTGGAGGCGGAGGTCACGACCGTTGACCAGCCACTGTGATAGGAAGGACTTACGTGCGTGAACTCGGTCCATGTTGTTATGATGATGCTGGCGTTGGCTTCGGCTCGCGTACTACGTCGATTAGGGTATGTATTGCGAGCGGAACCTCACTTCGACTCTGATGCTTGCTGGACTAAAACGGTCGATAGGCAACTCGACTGCGGATGACAGGGCGAGAAGGCGAGAGGGCGAATGGAATGGAAGAGGGGGAGCCCGTTGTATTTAAAGCGGCACGGTTGTTCGTCGTCATGCGGGTGACCGTCGCAAGCCGGGTAGAGACCGAGCGAGGGGTTCAGAAGGGGGCGAGTGCGGTACGAGTCTCTGAGGAGGGATGTCGTAGGTGGTGTGTCTTTCTCATGTACCTTTACGAAGAGACCACCCAGGTCGAAGAGTGGCTAGTGAGATGCGTTTCAGCGGCAAGGCAAGGTCGACTGGCTGGATAAGGCGACCAGGGAAGCAGGCAACAGGCGGGATGGGGCAGGTCCATGCTAGATCGACGCCAGCTACAAGGGTGTCTGTCTTTCTTTCTCGCCCGCGCTTTCCACCTTGCGTAACTCTCGAAGCCACAATGTGCTACGTATCCTAGGCAAGTGCTACAAACATGATGCGACTGCCAGAAAATTAGCTTTTCTACCTTGGGTTCTTCCAATACGATTACGTTGCCTGTGCCCGTATATAGATACCTGTCTCTTCGTTGACGGTTGAGCTACCCTGCGAACCCAGAGCTGACCGCTTTACAAGCCGCACCACTCGGGCCATGACAACCCCCATCTCGTGAGGAATGCAGTATGCACCAGGCGTATCATCAGCGACGGCAGCAACATCAGGTGTGTCGGGGGTGGTGCCAAGGCACATGCCATCACACGGTTTCATTGGCCCATGGGCAGGAAGCTCTCCTGGTATGACGACTGTTCCCCCGCTTTCTGGCCGCTTTCTCGACACACCAGCCACAGTCATAGTGGGGCAACCGTAGCGTCCGCTCCGGAGGAGCACCTGATGCCCAGTAACTCGTCACGTCTCGCGCTTGCTTCCCTTCCTTCCAGCGACCGACCGTGGGCTGCACCTTCCTAGCTGCGGCCAATCGCCCAATCGACCGACCCCCGATCGCCCCAGCCAGTTGCAGACGCGCTCTGCACCTTCACGTGGTGTCAACGAAAACCCCGATCGATCGGTCTATTCCCTACTCGACTGGCGCCGCCCTGGTGTCTGTCCATGAGACTCGTCGTCAAGGCGCTGCCTGCGTCCCTTCGACTTTCATTGCTGTTTCACGCCGATTCACGCAGCATCAGGTCACAATGGCTGTTCAACGCTTTATATGGACTGAAGTTCTGCTGACTGGTTGACTGCTTGTCTGTCCAAAATTACATGAAATCCCAGAAGAAATAGCTCAGCTGCGGTGGTACTGTGGACCCATGTGTACTGTACGTACTCCTTTTGCTCGCCTTTCCAGATATCATACCATTACAGAAGAAGAAAGGACAATCGTCTCGTTCATCATTTCTCAGTCACCTCCACGTCCTCACAACGTAGTCATGGCAGAGACCGCGTCTTGCCTTGCGGACCTCACAGATAGAGAGAATAGTGAAAAGACGACAGGAGAAGAAAGGTAAAGGTTGGGGGGAGATAAACGTATGTGGTCCCGTACACGGATGACCTGCAAGAGGCCGTACAGGTTTCGCCGTCTTCAACGTATGTTCAAGGCCCCGGATGAGGCTATCTCAGGGCAGGAAACCCGTGCAAGGGGCTGTGCCCTGTGATGCCGTGATGGCGCGCAACAGCGGGGAGAGGTGCTGAGGTGTTGGTTGCCAAACGTGATCTAGCAGAGCTCAACCGTGTTCTCTGACAACCCTGCTAGGTCGAGGTGGAAGTCATATCCGCCTGCGCCAGCGTCGATGCAGCTGTACTCAGATAGCGACATGTCTTCGGCGTCTCCCGCCTCCATCGAGTGCTGGTTTTCCTGGCTGCTGGAGAAGAGAGAAATGGACTCTCCGTCGGCAGCATGGGAACGGGGGAGAGGTACATAGAGCGTCTGGCTTACCATCTGCCGAATATCACACAGCCGCCATGGCATGCCTTCCGACGGCGAATCATCAGTGACAAAAAGGTCCAGATATCGTTTAATAAACTGGTGTATGTCAAGACTACCCGGAGGAGGCAGCCGACCGGTGCTGTCATAGCGGCACAGGGTGTAAAGCAGAGCGGTGGGCGATATTCCCATTTCGGCCTCGCATATATCATGCCAGGGGGGCTGGACCTGTCGAGAATTGCACACCTCATTGGCATATGTGGACCAGAGAGGCATGAAAGCGTCGATGGAGCTATACGCCTGAACCTGAACCTGCGCCCGTGGCACGTGGCACCATTCAAGGCACTTGTGCATGGCGGTCGATTTGCAATGGCTGCCTTGGAATGTCCACCGTAGTTGTTGCTTGACATATTTGTCTCGCAACCCTGGCGCATTGTTGAACTCCGTGGCGTGCCCACCTTCTCCTGATGTCAATTGTTGCTCAGCTCGACACAAAAGCACAAGTGCATTCATGTCAATCAGTTGATGACTCCTTGATAGCATCTTGTGATCGTCATTGTCGTCAACGAGTGAATCCTCTACCTCGAGCATGATCTCGTTCAGTTCTCGAAGTTCTTGGCCGAGAGCCTCGGGGTCGCCACCAGATAAGCGAGACACGCCGACAGCTTTGAGGAGCTTGAAGAACCGCTGATTTGAAAGTTCATCTAGCGCATCGATCTGCCTCTGAATCATGCCTTTTGCGGTGGTGATATGACGATCCCCACGAGCTGTGTTGGCATAGTTGATGAGATTCAGTCGATGCGCTTGGCTGGCACCATCCTTGAAAGACTGCAACAGACTGGATTGAAGGTACAAATCAGAGGCCGTTGTATAATCTCCAACAATGTACAAGAGGTCGGCTGCTAACTTCTGCTGGAGCCAGCTTCCATCGCATACCGAGAGTCTGAGAGTCGGAGGGTCCTCTGGCGGTGTTGTGTCTGCGAACAGTTCCTCTTCGTCATTGTCGGCGCACATAGCGCGAAAAGAAGATGAAGCGTTGGTTTCAGCAACATCATCATTGTCTTCGTCGTCGTACTCGTCACAGTTTCCAGAATCTGAGCTGACATTTATCTGCTGGCCATATTTTGTGCAGCCCCATAGACCCAACCGGTAAACATATTGGCGCTTGCTGGGACTTCATTAAATGTGCTTCGGATGCTGACAAGGTGGGAGACCTACTTTGCGCGAAAGCCGTAAGTCTCTTCCATGAAAATCATTAATTCTTCGAGTTCATATATTGCGTAAAGCCTGCAAATCTCCTCCTCGAACGGCGCCCACTCGCCGGCCGCTTTTCGGGGAGCTCGATTGTGTCTGGGCTTCGCTGATTTTGCTGGATGACGTCGCCTCGTTGGAGACAGCCGAGCTTGTGCTCTGGATGCTGTCCGTACGCGACCCATCATACCTTGCTGTATCCTCAGGTCTTCGATGATATTCATAAGCGATTGAGAACGTTAAGTGGGATATCGGGGAAGCAGGCTGCAACACAATGTGATCAAAACCGCGAAAACGGAAAGCCATCCGCTATTTACGTTATGCTGCGCTCAAATACAAGGGGCAAAAGCGGCCAGCCTTGCGGGCAATGCAGCAGGCGGCCTCAGTCATAGCTGAGGGATCAGTGGAGCCGGCTTTATCTCGAACTTGAAAGACTTCCGAGCATTTGCCTCTACTACGGAGTGGATGGGAAAGAATAGATGAAGAGGGGGGGCAGATGACCCTACCTATGTGAGCACCAGGCTGTCGCTGCCAGCCAGCCGTCCACATGCACGCATGCGAACCACCGCCGAATTCCAAGAGTTCTCGACAGAGAGGGTGTGCCGGACTGCAGGAAGATGCAGAGAGTGGTGTCGTCGCCGGCTTTGGGAGAGCCCAACGCTGCCCAAGACCCAGCCCAGGCTGACGTGGTAATTGGAAGTGGTATGCTGTGGTAGAACTGTCATTCGTGTCAATTGGAATTCCAATACAAAGGGTTCCATTGGCAAATCCAGTGATAATTCGGAAAATTCTTCGCCTGGACGAAGCGCTTAGCTTGGGACGACACGGAGACGATGGACTACAAAAACTCATACCGACTCCGTCAAGCATGATGCTTAGGTTGTGTCCATAATTCACCCTGTGCGTACGCATCATTTTCTCTACGAGGTCTCAGTTCATATCATTTCCGTCAATATGGGGGTTCACCATGCAAATCACGGACCGTTCGGCATGGTCAATCTGGACCACTGCCCCGACGACGGTGACGCCGAAGCACAGATCCCCAGCCACGATTCGTGCCATGATTATGACGGGCAAGCGACCAAACATGCAGCCTCACAAATATCAGAGTGGACAGGCGACCATCTGCCAGAACCAGCAGTGACCTATCCCAAGCGAAGAACGAAGCCCGAGCCCGTACGGCACTGGCTTGATGACATTACACGGGGATCTACCGGTCGTGGTGATTGCAGCAAAAACGTCGAAGGAATGGAAGCGACCTGGGAGCCCAATCAGGCTGTGCTAGGCACGTCAGCCAGGGCGAGCAGTCACTGGAGCAACGCGGACAACCTACAGTCGTTCAAGAAAGCCCAACAACTCGAACACCGAAAGACGAGTAGAGAGCAATCGGACAGCGTACCGAATGCCAGGAACTTCGGACCCGCGTCGGGGGATCCCAAGTCAAAGTGGCGATCGCCTTGAGCCTCATGTGGGGTGGGAAGAAGGGGGGCGGGGGACAGGGTGCTGGGGATTGTTCTACTTTGACTTCCGTCTCGCTTTGGAATTGTTATCTACCTGATTTTCGTAGCCCATAGAGGATCTGTCAAGGAGCTGTATGCTCTGTTGAGCTTCTCTAGTCGTATCCCAAGGTGAAGTGAATCATGAGAGGAGGGTAGTCTTGTGTAAGCCAAGATGCTGCGGCTTGCTGCGACTCGCCGCTTATAAAAGGAGGCCCCTACAATGGCGGTCTAATTTACGGTGTGGGCTGAAAGCCCTTTGGAAGCAACTGGTGTCGGGGATTTACTTGCGTAGATAATGATTCAAATAAACAAAGTGCTTGCTTACGATGACAAAACAGTAATCAATCTAGTCGAACTGATGTGCTCAAAAGGGGGTATCAGCGCAAGGTGAAGAGCGAATAAGCGATAGAATCCTGGAGGCCACCCCCCCTCCCCCTTCTCCCCCACCACGATGCGCCGCATCAAAAACAGAGTGCACAGGAAATGAGGTGAAAATGAACAGCCGTCAACGCAACTCGCCGGTTTGCGATAAAATGACACACATACACGCCCAACAGCAGTGCTTACTAAGCTTCAGCCATGAGCTGCTCGCCCTCGTCCAGAGTGTCCATCACCTTCTTCAGATTCCCGATCAGGCTGCGGCCCAGACCAACCAGCAGCAGTTTCTCTGCATTGGCCGGCAGTCCGAGGTACGTGGGCGGCTCGCGCTCGGGAAGTTTGTGAATCCAGGCTGTGAACTCAGGTAGAGACGTGCCGGATGGGACAACCAGACTGCCTTCCTCAGAACCATCAGGCCCCTCAACGAGTTTGTGCCCAATGTCATATGCTGCAGGCGTGAGGAATGACTCGACGAGGCTGTTGAGCTGGCGGAAGTCGCCTTCGTCGTCGATCTTGCCGCCGTAAGTCTCAGTAACGAGGTAGCGAATCATGTCCCACGGTATGCTTTGAGGCGCAATGTTCGTGCGAGTCCCGGCGGCCTGTTCGATCCACGTGTCAATGATGAATGCCGAGCATTCGTACTGTGAACCTGTTAGCGCCTTCATTCACGATGTTTCAGAGAGGGTAGGCTTACATCGCTGTCATTGAACTCCCAGAAACCCTTCCAACCGAGGTTGGGGGCATAGCGCAGACGCTCCTGGACAACGGCGTGGAGGAAAGCGAGCAAAAGGTAAAGCCTGGTACGTTCCACAGGGCTCTTTGCAGACCGTGTTGAGAGCGAGGACATCGAGTCTTTCATGTTGGCCCTTACGCCAGCAGGCTGCTCGTACATGAGGACCCGAGAAGCGCGCAGGAGGTTGACGGGAATCTTGGGACTCGACTCCATGGAGAGGAACAGCCGGAAGTCCGAGTGGGGGTTGAGAGAATCCATGCGTTTCTCCAGACTTTGAAGCCAAGACGGTGCGAGGTGAACGTTTTTGACCAAGACCCACGAGCCTGTTTGTGCGGCGTTGGTGACGGCCTTGTCAGCGCTGGCGAGACCTTCATTGGAACCCATGGCAATGTTGGTGCAGTTGACTCGCATTCTCTCAACCAAGTTGTCGACCTTGTAGCTGGCATCGAAGCCAGGACTAGAGACAAGGGCGACAGGTCTGGTGGCAGGCACCTGGGTGACAGTCTCCTTAAGATCCTCCACAATATCGAAGAGGTCAGAGCCAAATACGAGCGTCACGAAGCGCTCTGCAGCAGGAACGAAACGGTCAAGGCGGAAAAGCTTAACCAGCAGAAGAGATAGCAGTGCTTGGTCATTTCCCGATGTGTTGTCGTCCCAGATCTGGGGAACAAAGTTCTCTGCAAGTTCTTCGGTGAGGAAAGTGTCCCAGTCAGTAGAGGCGGCCCTGCCCAGCTTGTCCTTGAGCGCGCTGAAGTGGCCCGCTCTGGCAAAGGCCTCGTCTCGGGCATCTGGCTCGGTGGAGAGATCCTTGCCCTCCACACGCTTGTCTAGGATGACGTCGATGAGCCCCTTGTCCATAGGGTATGGCGAGGCCTGTGCAAGCAGCATGGCTAAGGTGATACGATCGCGTTGGAGCAGACCCAGAGCTGTTCGCTTGAAGGCAGAGACGAACAGGTCCTTGACGATGATATCCCGGCGGACATTATGGTCCGTCTCATTAGCCAAGTTCGGGTTACCTCGCAGGACAGAGTGGAAAATGTCGAGGAAGTACTGGAGCGAGAATTGGTAGAAGTGGTTGAGGTAGTGCAGCTGCTCCAGCACGGCGAAGACAGTGCTGCAGGAACGAGCAATAATGCTGTACTGTTGCGTGATCTCGTCTACCTCTGCCATGACACCCTCAGTACTGCTGATCTTTGCCGAGATCTCCGCCGCCTCTGTCTTGAGGGTCTCCAGAGTCTCAATGACGTTATCGTCATCAAGGATGTTGCCACGAGACTCGTTGAGGGCTTGGAGGAGGCGCTTCTCAAGCTGGCGCAGGTGCACCGTGAACTCTCCCTGCAGCTTGATGAGATTTGACCGTCGTTCGTCCACATCTGGCCGCTCGGATTTGAGAACCTCGTTCAGGGACTGTGTCTGAAGACTGCTCTGCGTCACCGTGAAGTTGACAAATGTGGTTCGACTGCAGATATCGGGGGGGAAGGTTGCGGACGGATCGCGCGTAGACAGATAGATCTTGAAAGCAGGCGAGAAATCAATCTGTTGTTTGCCGAGCTGGATGAGAACACGACCGCCAGTCTTTTGGTACTCTTTGTTGAGGACTTGGTTCAAGATAGGGTCGAGATGCTCCGCGTCCTGGATCAGGATTGGGTTACCGAATCTGAGAGAGCTCTCAAGCTGCTTGGTGAAGGAATCGTCAAGGAAGCTAGTGACCGTCAAGCGACGATCCTTGCTCTCTTTCTGGAGGAACTCTGTGACTCTCCCAGATGGATCGATGATGAGAGGGTAGCGGTTGAAGCGCTTCAGGATGATGGCATTCTCGGTGCAGAGGTCGTCCACGGGGAGACTGTTCTCTTGCCAGCCGAGCCGCTCATCAGCAGTAGAAAGATACTCGGTCACAGGATTGTGTTGCTTGTACTGGACTCCGGAAAGATGAAGCTGGTGCAGCCAGTCTTCCATCATTGACTTTCGGAAGGTTTGATCATAAAGACCGCTGTAAGCGAGGAAAGCCGCGGCGACGAGGACGTCGCCAACGAGGGTGCTGATTTGCGTCTCGAAAGACTTGCTTCCTTCCTCCCAGCGAACTCTCTCTGATGATAGACTGTCAAGGAGCCTGACACTCCTGTCGACCTTGAATTGTACTCGCTCCATCTCGGATTTGATGGCTTGCGTCTCGCTGATGAGCGCCGCGTACTCGGTCTTGTAGGTCGCAATGCTTGATTCAAGGGCATTGATGGTGTTTTCCACGGCCTTGGCTTCAGCCTTCGTTTGCAGAGCCTGCTCTTCGAGCTGCTCTACCTCATTCCTCAGAGGGCCGACACGATCAAGAATCTCTGAGTAAGTGACCTGCGCCTCCACCCATTGGACTAGCGGACCACAGGCCTTACTGGCGCGGTTAACCTTGTCAAACGTGAACTCGGGGTTCGACAGAAATTCGTTTCGCATCTTGACGCGCAGAGGCTTGGTCATCTTCTCCTCGTTGTTGAAGTTGACGATGCTAGCAATGAAGTCGTCCTTGCGCACGATCGCTTGGATGTTCTTCCACTCGTTGACCTTGTGACCCAGCAATGTGCAGACAGAGTCAAGAGCGAGTCTGACACCTTGAGGTGGATTGCCCATGGATCGGACTTCCGTGAGATGCTGCCTCTTGATATTGCTGACGCTGGCGCGGGCTTCTTCGACAGCCGGCTCGGCTCGCGCAAGGTCCTCCAACACAATCTTCTTCCTTGAAGCAACTTCGGATTCTTGTTTCTCTAGAGCAGCCTGGATCTCGAGAGAAGTATTCTTCCTCTGCTCAGCCTCTCGCTGGTCGGCAATCATGCGCTGCAGCTTCTCGTTTGCCTCGGCATCCTTCTGCTCAAGCTGCGACTTCTTCTCCGCAAGGCTGACACGCAGATCGCGAACCTTGTCGACGGTGTCGCGGAGCTTCTCTAGACCGACATTGAGATGGCGCTGCTGTTCCTCAAGGTCCTCCCGCTTCTCATTGTAAAGTTTGACGTATTGCGCAACGAAGTCAAGGAAATGCCTGGGCGTGAGAAAAGTGACCTTGCCTTGCTGTTTCTGTAATTTGACGTTGAAGCGCTGAAGTGAGTAGTGAATGTAAACCATGGAATTGACAATCGCCTCGCGGTGCGATGGCGGCAAAGAGAGCCCGCGGTACGCGACGGGAATCGAATCAGGTGCGTGGAAGTTGGGCCGATCCAGGTCAATGGAGTGGGTAAGCTCATGGCCTACTTGGAAGAGCGCCTGATCAGACCAGTCACCGAACCAGTTGAGCACGCAACGGTTGAACAGCGCTGGACTGGTGGCTGCTTTGGAGCCGAGACCGTCTTCGGGCGGGTTCATGGTGAAGACGACGTGCAGGTTCTTCACAATCTGTTGTGTGAACCACTTGTAAAGCTCCTCCTGAGAATCAAGGTGCAGGTTTTGACGTTGAGCACCTTCCTTGCATGCCGTCATCAGGGCGGCAAAGTCGTCGCCCTCGAAGAGACCAGGAACCTCGGCGTTGGCCAGCAGGGTGTTCATCCGTTCCAGGAAACCCGAATCGAGAACATTGGACTCGTCCATGATAAAGCAGATCTTCTCGCCCTTGCAACCGCAGCGCCGCAGGACGTCGCGGAGGTCATCGTCGAAGTCTTCAGCAGAGTACTTGCCATGGACCTTGATCTGGAAGACCTTCAGACCATTCATCCAGGCTACGAAGCGAGAGAGAGTTGTCTTGCCACTTCCACTGACACCGATGAGAATCAAATGGCCCTGAGGCTGGCGGAACACACGATCGATACGAAGAACATGCTCCAGAACGTCGTTGAAGAGAATGAGAGGCACGTCCACTTCTTCCTCGCAGAATGTCTTGAGACGAGCCTTGACGAAGTCTCGAAGCTGCTCGCGGTCCACAGGGACATAGTTCTTTGATAGCCAGTTCGAGAACAGAATGGGCCCACCGAGAGCCTGCTGCTCGTCGATGCTGGGGAAGTACTGGGTTGCGATGCGCCGTACTGCCTCATCCGTCCACTGGCGTTCATCTTCGGCTACAAGACGATCTTGGAAAAGTCGCAGAGCTTCGTGCGCCCAAATACGGATAAGACCTTCTAAAGACAGATTCTCCAGCGGGCGTATCGCCTCGTAAATGCCGCGGGCCCATCGTGTCAGCTCACGAGGACTGTAAACATAGTGTGGCTGGATTTTGGGGGTGAAGCGTTGCTGAGATTCGAGGTAGAACTTAACCATGGCTTGCGTGAGCTGATCAGCATAGCCACGGAGCGTGGGGATGATCTTAAGGACGGCGGAGTTGAAAGTGCCGTAAATTTGCTGGAGAGAAAGCTCGCCAGGATAGTCAACCATGATGAGAGGGGCGTGTCGCAGGAATCGGTCACCCAATGGAGTACGGCCAGCGTCGGTCGGCGGGTTGCAAGCACCTACAAACTGAATCCTATCAAGCGTGACCCAGGACTTGTCAGATGTCCTCCAGAAGCCGTTATGTTCGACGAGCTGCCTAAGGAAAGATATGGCTCGTTGCGTGCCATATTTATCAGGCGCAGGAAGGTTGATTTCATCACAGAAGATGACCAACCACCTTCCAATCTGAGTAGGCGACAGTATCACGCCGTTCAGTGTCTTCTTGTATTCGCAGTGTTGCTCAAAGGTCTTGATCAGAAGATCTGGAGTGGTAGCACTTGAGAAGTTGAGGCCCACAACCTCCATGTTGGGAAGTTTGCGGAGAGCGCTGAACAGCGTCATTGTCTTACCCGAACCTGGCGGGCCGCAAAGAAGAAGGGGCTTGTGCTCAGCGAGCCAGGAGTAGAGCACATCCTCGTGGCGAACTGTATCCAGAGTGGGAATAACCACATCAGTCTGTGTGATGGAGTGAGTGTTGACCTCGATAGTAGGAACCTGGTTCTGCCACTGCGTCCACTCTGCCTTGGGAAGAGAGACATCGAAATCGATGAGAGAGCTGGCACCATCGAGAGGCGGTGAGCCGAAGCTTGCTAGACCAGCAACGGCGTCGCCGAAGGTTTTGCGGTCATTCAGCGGACAATCTCCAGTGAGAGACCAGACGAGAGCAAGCAGCAGCTTCTTGGAAACGTAGGCCTCGACTTGCTCTGGCTCAAGGGGGAAGTCAGAGTGCTGGGCGTTGTACTCAATCATGTCTCGAACTGCCTTGTTGAGGAGCGAGAAGAGAGTATTCAGCACACGTGCCACGGTGAAGTCCATAATGTGGTCGTAGTCCCGAGCTTCATCAAGGGCTGACGAAATAAAGTCTTCGCCTGTAAGGTGAGAGTTCAGGAGATCGGCAACATGAGTTTGGAGGGCGAGAGCCTTAGCCGGGCTCTGAGCCGACGCAACATTGTCTTCATCAAGGTCCTCGAAAGGCTTGGTGCGAAGGGTCATCAGATAGTTCTCGACCATCATCTGAGGAGAGACAGTGTCTTCACTGAACCACACCATACCACAACGACTGACAGTAGCGAGCGTAGCATACTTCAGGGTTTCAACCTCGAACATGATCCGAACGTTCGAAGGCAAGTTGAGGCGCTCACCATTGGGAAGCGTCAGGAGCTTGTTGTCGTCGAGCACACTGTTGAGGTTCTCAACCCACTCAGGGTCAACATCGCCATCAAAAACAATCCAGTGACGTTTCGAATCCTCGCCACGAAGGTTGTCAACGATTTTGCGCAGGATACTCGTGAACAGACCGTCAGTCCATTCACGGGTGGTCGAGTCGAGATTGCCGTACAAGGCTTCTTTTGACATGACCTTGGAGTCGATGACATGATGCACGCCTTCAACGCCTTCGACTTTTTGCAGAGCATCCAGCAAAATCTTCCACGCCGCAGACTTGCCTGTACCAGAGTTTCCGACCATCATGACGCCGTGGTGAATGTTCTGTATCTGGTACAACTGGATAACCTTCGTCATCCATGTATCGTTGACGACGAGCTGCCTCTCAGCGGCCAGTGTACGAATGGCTTCCTCGAGCGCCACCAGATTGGCGGGGACATACTGTACGCCGGGGAAGCAAACGCCCTCGACGGTCATCATGATTTCGACGTCGGACTTGATGAGTTTCGGCGCAATCGTTTCTCGAATGCTCTGCACGATAATTTCGGCCTCTACGACGTCAACGCCATCACCACCAGTCAAGCGGGCTCTCTTCAGGCCTCCAGAACTGACAAGAACACTCTTGAGTGCACGCAGTCCGAAGTCGTAATGTGCTTGCTTGGACAGCTTGTCCGAGCACCTGTCGAAGAATGGCACAGTCTGTTTCGACAGGGACTTGGCTTGGTTGAAACCCTGAGAGTAAAGCATAACTTCTGCGATGAGCTCTTTGTCAGGCTTGGACATGGCCACGCTACGGAAGAGCTTCTTCAGGTTGTCTGGCAGGTTGGAACGGCCGGCATACCCGGGGTTCATTGTGATGAAGATGCCGGTGTTGGCGTTCACGCGGAGCTGGCGACCAACGAGCTCAATCTGGGACTTATCATCCTCAGCACCTTGCTTGAGACCAAGCTGAATGTTTTGGATCTGCTGTGACACGGCAGACAGGATTCTCTCCTCGAGGCGGTTGAACTCGTCGAAGCAGCCCCAGGCACCGACTTGACAAATACCCAGGAAGATACGGCCCATGGCCTGGAAGTCGAAGGTATCGTCACAGCAGAAGACGAGGGTGAAGCGTCCAAGTTGCAGGCCGAGTGCCTTAACCGATTCTGTCTTTCCCGTACCGGCTGGTCCGTACGGTGAGCCACCGAGACGTTGTTCGAGAGCTTGGGTAAGGGTGAGGAAGCATCGATCGGTAAGAGGGGTTCGGACGAGACGATCTGGCACTCCTAGATACTCGAAGCCATAGTTGAGCTTGGCATTGGCCATCTTGACCTGCAGACGCTGCTGGAAGTCGCCTTCTGGCGTATATACGTAGCGCATCTGCAAGAGCCAAAGGTAGTGAGTCGGCGTGGTTGCATTCAGCTTCATAAGCTTCTCAACGCAATCCCGTTGATGAACACACTCTGTAATGAGCTGCTCACACTTCTTGCGCTGGATGACTTCGAGGTCTCCGAGCACTGTGTCGGCAAGGTGGCGAAGCACCTGTACCTCCCGGTCAAAGAGCGACTGGAGCGTCACTCCTCCGTCGGCGAGGGATTGTTCTACAGCTGTCGTCCAAGCCGCCTGGGCAGCCAGGACGACTATCTGACTGGGGAATGTGTCCATGAACTCGATCAAGACTGATTTGCCAATACTCTCAGACTCGAAGATGGGCGTATACTGGGCGATAGCGTCGGCAAGAAGCTCGGCAAGAGTCGACTTCATGCCATTCTCGAGAAGCGTCAGCCAGTCATTGATGCGCGGCGTCTTGACGAGCGAAATTTCCTTCTTTAGTCGAACAGCCTCTCCCTCTTTGGAAGTGAAGCCAGAGATGATGGTCTCATCGTCCATTATCAGGCCGGAAAGACCAGCAAACATCTTCTTGAAATGCTTGGCGATGCGAAGAGTGTCATTGCTGTTACCTATCATCTCGAGAAGGTCTTCGTCACCAACGAAATAAAATCTCGGGAAAGACACACGCTCCTTTTCAAGGTATTCACCAAGGGCCTTTTGGATCTTGTTGAGGAGCTCGGCAAGACGCTCCAAGGACTTCTGCACGTTCGCGATGCCGAGGACATCCAAAACATAGGGCTGCTTGTAGACTTTCTTCATGACGGTAGAGAACTCGCTGTTGATGTTTTGGAATCGTGAGGATTCGATGGGAAGCAGATGCTTGATATCGGCATTGCCTGTGAAGACACCCTCCAGGTAGACCCATTGGCGCTGCACATCAATCCATATGTCGAAAAGGACATGGACGCGGTTGAGCTTGTCCTCCCACGAAGAAGCTTCCTCTTCGAACTCCTTGTAGTAAGGAGAATGTTTCATGGCCTGTAGAGAGTTCAGGTTTTCGCTGCACTTGGTGAAGAGATCGTCCCAACCTCGAATGAGGCGACATTTGTTCTGGTAATTGACGAGCTCGAGTGCGTAATTGGTCCATGTCTCGCGAACCTGCTTCAAAAACTCTTCCAGAGCCATTTCTCCTTGAGCTTGGGCTATGATGTCCTTGACGATGACTTCTGTAGCAACGAGGTTGAGATCCCAAACGTCACCCAGTGTCAACGACACCGGCGAGTACCGCTTCCCGGGTCTGATCTGCTTGTAGATCTTGGTCCAATGGCGATCGCGAATGGCCTCAGACTTCAGGTCAGAGAGAAGGGAGTTGACCTTGAGATAGCCCCTAAGGATGGACTGGACATGTTCGAAAGCGGCATACTGGCGCATGCGGCTCGGCATCTCCTTGGTGCTCTTAAGTAGGTCGTCGATCTTGGATCGCACCTTTCGGGGCTGGACAGCAGTCCAGAGTGTTTCTTTCGTCTCGTTGAGGCTAGACCAGATTGTGGAAAGATTGGACCAGACAGACTGGAAGTCGTGAACCTCCTCGAGAACAGCGGCCAAAGAGTTGTCAACATTGGCGGGGAGGTCGAGCGCCTCCTTCGCCTTGCCAACCATCTCAGACTCGTTCTGTAGCTCGGACAGCTTGGTTTCAAAGCTAGCTAGAGTGGCAGAGGCGTGATCGGGCTTGATAGTTCCTGACACAGGCTTCTCTTCGTTCCACTGAGCCGTGATCTCGGCAATCTTGTCGCTGATGTGCTTGTCTTGGGCCGTAATCTTGGCACGTAGAGCGTCGGTTTGGTCTTGAACGACCTTAGCCTTCTTCTCTAAGATCTCAGTCAGGGATCCCCAAGAGTTGTCGATCTGCTCAATGTGCAACCAGTCATTGGGAAACTGGTAGCGTTGCCGGACGAGAGTCGACTGTCCCTGCCTGAACATGTCAATCTCAGGTGCCCAAGCCTTGACGTTACGCTTGCAGCTTTGCACAATGGTGATGAACTGTACAGCCTGAGCAGTCGAGGATGCATCCAAACGCGGGCCCTCGAGCTCACGGCGAGCCTTCTCAATGTCGGCATGGACCTCGCGCATGCGAGTGCCGAGCCGGCTTGCGAACTTCATGAGAATCTCGTGTTGCCACTGATCATACTTGGCATTGACTCTGGTTTGAACCTGGTCATAATCAATGGTGGTGTGCCCGAACTGACGACTGACTTCCTGGGTGTCGAAAGTCTGGCGCGTCTTGCGAATCTCCTGGAGAAGTTGGAGCCACCTTGACAGTTGGTCGCCGAGAACTTCGTAGACCTGCTCAGATTGAAGGTCCCAGAGCGATTGGAATTGTAACCATTTATCGACATAAGCGCCAAGCTCCCTTAGCTTCTTCTCGACAGACACGTAGACCCGGCTCAGCAGATCAGTACACTCGCCAGGCAAGTCGTCGAACCGGGGTTCCTCAGAAGTTGCCGTAGTGAGGGTCATCTGGTACCGGGTGGCCTTGATCTTCTTCATGTTGCAGACAACACCAAGCCAGTCGTGAAGATGGACGAACCAGCTCGCTCTGGCAAATTCCAGAGGCGGGTCCAGGTAGATGACTTGGTTTCGCATGGTAAGTTCGTGGACCAAGCGCTTGATCGTCGGGCCCTCCGGTTTCGCCTCGTCATTGCTCTCGTTGGCTCTCTTACGTCGGCCGTCGTCAAGATAGTCATCTTCAAACGCCTGAATCCATGACTGGATGGCGTGTTGCAGACGTCCAAGAAGCACTTCCTTGATCTTTTGGTTCATGTTCTCGACCCAGTACGGCAGGTTGACGTACTGCTCTAGGTTCAGCTGGTCAACGGCCTTCTGGATGGTCTCGAGACGGGACTGAAACGCGTATGGTTCGTATGGACACGTGCTGAGCTGTGACAAAGCTTCTTCGATTGTAACATGGATCGACATCAGGAAGGCAGTCTTGCTCTGCATCAGCGATGCAGCAGCGGCAAACTCGCGGATGAAAAGACTGTGTTTGCTTTCTGCGCTTCGTCCTGCGAGACCGTACTCTGTGCCGGCTGGAAGAATGGAACTATTCTTGCCCGAGAAGAAGAGCTCGTGGGTGTTGACAAACGATTCCCAACGCAGCGGCACGCCCTTGTTGACCAACGCATAAGCTTCGTTTCGGTAGCCAAATAATAGAACAGCTTCTTCGCCCATCTCGGAAATCTGGCGTGTGATCTGCGAGAAAGTGCGAACACTCTCCATGAGGCTGACAGCAAATGGATAGACCCGTTTTGCATCTTTTGAGACGGTGTTGATGGAATGGGGAATGTTGTACTCCTGCCACATCAAGTTGCGAGTCTCTTTGAACAACGTGATGACCTGCGGATCAAAGTTGACAAGGAGTTCGAGGGTGCCACCAGCAGAACGGATTCTGCGAATGTCGAAGAGGTAGCCAGAAATAGAGATCTGACGCCTCTGGACATCGCTGAGCCAGGACTCAAAGATTGGCCGGGTGTTCAACTTTTTCCTGAACAAGTTGCTCTCGTTTTCCAGCTTCTGTCCCTCAGCGTGCAGGGACCAGTCGGCACCGAGAACATCTTCAACCTTCTTCATGTAACCGTCGAGTTGAAACTCAATCTGTCGAGCCCATATGATCGCACCAGAGACGGGAGGCAGATCTCGTAGTTGGGCCATGGCATGGGCTTCCGAGTGGCCGTACTGTTGCTTGAAGCGCTCGTGAAGTCCATTGATGGCCTGTTTGACGTGCTCCATGAGCTGATTCTGGTACTCTGCAATGGCGCCCCTGATCTTGGGGCGTACGAAGAGGGCGTTAAACTTGGAGAAGACGCGGAACATCTCGTTGGCGTTCTTTGCGGTTCCGAGGCGATCACGCAAACGTGAGATGATGGAATTCTCGACTCGCGAGGTCCGCTCATTGTAGAGGTTCTCCGCTCGGGCCCATCTCTGAGTACCCTCGGCGGACACATCCAGAAGATCGACATTGCGGAGAGCTTCCCAAGCCTGTTTGACTTCCTCAACGGCGTCCACATCGCCCATCTCCTCCATGACAATGGCTCCATTCGACACGGTAGTCTCGACAGCACCGCCACCCGTGGCCTTGGGTCCTAGGACGTTGACAATAGTGCGCTGCAGTTGCTCGTGGTTGTCTCGAAACGTGCTGACGTAGTTGAGTCGCGCCTGGAGTTCGCCGTGTCTCGGGTTGACTTTGATGGGGATGAACCTTTCGTTCCTCCTGCGCGTGACCTCACGAGCAACATTTGTAAACTCTTTGATGCTGTCGTCCCACGTCCGGAAGATGTCGTCGCAAGCCTTCATGATACCCTTGAATTCCTGGTAATCGAGGTTCACCATCTCAATCCCAGGGAGCAGTCGGTGAAGAACGTCGTCTAGGTCGGCCGAGATTGCTTCCACGAGCGGCAAAGCCCTTCGGATGGGATAGGGGCAGATCCTCAGTTTCTTGTTCAAGTGACTGAAGATCTGTACAATGGCGTCCTGGAGCTTCGAAAGAGACGTCGCAGAGAGAAGCTCGTCGAGGGGAAAGTCTCGCATCAACTGGTTGTACTTTTGGACCTTCTCCACGGCTTCCTTCAACCCGGTGTCGGCGACAAAACTAACGGTTGCCTGGAAACGCTTTGCGTTCTTGAGAATATCGAGAGTCAATGTCACTCCGTCACTACGCAGCTGTGCATCGATACCCTCCAGTGCCGACTCCATGGACAGCCAGAAGTTCACTTCTTGACTGGCTGTAAACTTGAAGTCTTGCGCAGAGTTGCCGGATGGGTCTTTGGTCATCTTTGTGATGACTTGAATCGACTTAATCCAGCTATTGACGTTGCTCTGGAGGTTGTTGAGGAAGCTGCTGTCGCCAAGGGTCGCGGCAGGGATCGATTCGAGATTTGGCTTCGAGTGCCTAGATGCGGCATCGTCAAGAGCACCTTGGACGACATGGTGAAAAATAAGCGAGACCTCCGGGATCTCAACATTCTGTTGCAGATGCAGCAGACTAAGTTCCAGATCGTTCCACCTCTTCTTCGTGACCGGGATACCTGTCTTGGAGTCGACGTCTCCACGGCCTCGTGAGCCGTTTGCCAGCTGTTGGCTCTTGGTATTGGCATCGAAGTACGGGGCCAGCACGTGGTGAACGTAAGAGTGAAGAATCTCGAAAGCTGAAGTGGAAGGGCCCTGTTCGCCAACAGTGGCATTAAGAGTAGCCGGGCCAGGCAGATTAGTAAGAAGTAGTTGAGAGGACAGAGGAAGCGCGGGATCGATCGGCTGCGAACGCTTGAGGAGACTGAGCGACGAAACGGTTGTGGGAAGAGAGGAGATCTCAGGTGTGAGGGTGTACGTATAGGATGGTGCTTCTGCGAGGTGTTGAACATTAGTGACAAGCTGATCAGGTCTGGGGGGGTTGCTTGACGCACTTGGCTCCTCGTCACCGTTCTGGATGCCCGATGATGGAATTATGTCCTTTTGGATGTACAAGGTTGTCTGAACATCCGTGGCAAATCGGTTGCAACGCTGCATCGTATCGGTGTAGCGGCTCTTATGCAACAAGCTGCCAGAAGCCTCAAGATCTTCTCTGGTTGCTCCGAGAGCTATCTCGCAGGCAGAAACAAGGTGCTCGACAACGCGTACCGGGTCGATCGTTGGGAAGGGAGCCGCAGCAACCCCATTTGCTCCGGGGCTTTGTGGTGATGCCACCTCCATGTCGAATGGTCGGTGTCTGTGGTCGTGATGGGTATCTAGAGGGACGCAGTCGTCATGGTCGAGACGTGATCGGTTTGGCTGAACAGGTAGTAAACTCAGGGGTGTCGATGGAGCGGGCGGCCTAATCGAAGGATGGTGGGATAGAGCTCTTGCACGCAAGCAAAGAGGACGTTGGGGGTGAGAGAGATTAGAGGGCGAAGTATCTCAGGTTATCCGCTGCCTATCCTGCTGCGTTTGTGAGGCAGCAGCTGTGTTCGTGGTAGAAAAGAGTTGTGGATTAACCTGCAAGTCCCTGCCAACACCTTGACTGCCCAAAGCAAGAGGTAGGCTCCCCCAAGTTTTACGCGACCCAGATTACCGTATGGACCCCAGTCGCGACGGCATGTGTCAGGAGACGTGTGGCCAGTGGTGGGTCGGCACGGCTACAGATTGTGGGGCTCATTTGGTTGGATAACTGCAATCTACCAGGGGGCCATCCACTACTGGTCTCACCAAATCAACGCCCCCAGTTCATACCCAGGTACCTAGGTAGGTAGGTAGGTAGGTAGGGTAGGTAGTCCTAGAGCTTCATGTCGATCAAACGTACCAAATCGGGCCACCTCATCCTCGCCGACCTCCATTCCAACACGACTACTCCGGCAACTGGACCGACTGACTGTCGCATCAATCATATGATGAACTTGGACGGCAACGCGTCAATAGCACAGCCTTCTCTCTCCATCAGAAATCCACAAGGCTTCAGGCCTAGCTATTTCTCCCCCATTTTCCTCTAGCTAAGTTGCGGAGTGTATTGTACGTCTGATCAAATAGGGACGACGGTGCAGCTCGTTCCTGCATCAGAATCAACTTGCTGTGGGTACCTGCTCAGCAGGTCTCAGCCGTGGAACCTTACAGATTGAACCCGTGTAGCTTGAGCCTCTTTATCAGTCTATGTCAACCTCTTAAGATTGGGCTGTGGCAAACATCGTATATGATACAATGTTGGTGAAGACGGTTAAATATTTAAATTTCAAGCGCTAGCAAATAATGCACCATGCCCTTGTCCTTATCCCGTCGACAACCCGGCATCCGTGTTTGTTCCGCGACGATTCCGCATGAAGATCTATCTAAACATCACTCGAAACTTCTCTTGCTGTGAGCCATGCAACACAAGACGAGCCACGATGCCGTCCTGAGCAAAACCTATACCTTCCATCCGTTTCAATGCATGCGCCGGTTACCACCATGATCCCTTCATCCATCTGACGAAACAAAGCAAGACAACTGTAAATCCATGAAAAATCAACGTCAACGTTGCTCCCCAGGTGCCGTGCCCGTCAACGCCCCGACTGATGGCCCAGCAGACGACCCAGCCCCGGCGCCACTTTCCGGCCCTGAGAGCCTTTCTCGCTGCACCATGACCCGCTGATTGCAGATATCAATGAACATCTCGAACTTGCGGATGATTTGTTCCTTCTCCTCGAGCTTCGACTTCAATCCTGCAATCTGTTTTTCGGCATCCTCGGTGAATTGCGCAAAATCCCGGCGCGTTTTGTCGAGCTCCCGACGGAGATCGGCTCGAATTCGCTCCTCGGCAGTTGGCTGCGGCTTGCTGTAGATCGCAGGTCGGTCTTCAGCAAGCGCTGTAGCAACTTTAGTGGGATTCCGGTTGATTGCTGCCCGAGCATTGTAGATATCACGAGATAGTAGGGGTACGTCAGGATTCTCTATCTGCAGTATTTCCAGAGTTTCCTTCACACCATATCCTAGTCATCCCCAAGTCAGAACGAGCAATACTTGAAATCAGCTGTAAACTCACCGTTCTCTTTCAGATTCTTGACAGCATGCACCATCGTGGCATTCAGTTTTCGAGCTGCCGGGTGTAAAAGAGGGCTTTCGCTTGGGCCATGGTTGTGCTCGGTGTGGATGGGGTCAGGACGATATCGGATGGTCCACTGAGTCCGCTGCTCAATGGCGAAGAACCCAAATTGACAGCCGCATTTGCGGGACGAAGTTTTGCGCTTCCGTGCCTCCGGACTCACGCGACTAGGAGGCAGACCAGCTCTATCGCATACGAAGAGCACCTTCTTGAGGCCTGGCACAGTCTTCTTGGACCGCCCAATGACAATGGCATACCCAACCGAGGTGGCGTAGGCAAGGGCGCTTTTATGGATGGCCTCTAAGGTCGTGTAGCTGCCTCCTTCAGGGGGGGGTGACATGCTGGCACCCATGGGCTCCGGCGCCTGGTAGATAATGCCTGCAGCGCGCATTGCATTTTGCACATGGTCTGGCACGCCGGATACATCGCCACCGTCATCCGAGTCCCCATCCACCATGATAGCATCGTCAGAATGCTGCGCCTCAAGTGAGGGCGCCGAGGGTCCTGGCTGGGTGACAGGCGGAGGGGGAGGAGGGGGGGGAGGGGCAGGGGCCTGTGCCTGTGCCTGTGCCTGGGTAGCTTGCTTCTGTTTGCTCTTTTGTCGCGATTGGGACTTCGGTTTGGGCTGTTGCTGCTGCTGCGCTTGCTGCTGTGCTTGCTGCTGCGCTTGCTGCTGCGCTTGCTGCTGCGCTTGCTGCTGCGCTTGCTGTTGTGCTTGCTGCTGCGCTTGCTGCTGTGCTTGTTGTTGTGCTTGTTGTTGTGCTTGTTGCTGTGCTTGTTGCTGCTGTTGCTGTGCTTGTTGCTGCTGCTGCTGCTGCTGTGCTTGCTGTTGCTGCTGCTGTTTCTGCTGTTGTTGCTGTTGCTGGAGACTCTGCTGTTGCATCGCTTCTTCAGCACGATGCATATTGTCCTGGAACATGCGCATGGCCTGCGTCTGCTGAGGCTCAGGCAAAGACGAGGATGGCTGTGCGTGCGACGAGCGCGCGTTGATCGAGTCGATCTGCTGAGGCTGAGTTTGCACTTCCTGTTGGTCCATAGATGGCTGTGGTCCCATGCTTTGTGGCTGGCCTATGCTCTGCTGTCGCCCGATGCCCTGTTGTTGTCCTTGGTTTTGCTGAAGGCCCATATTGTGCTGCTGCTGAACAGAGTTCTGCTGCTGACCGAGGCCTTGCTGTTGGCTGAGACCTGTCTGTTGCTGCATGCTAGACTGCTGGTTGATCCCTTGAGACTGCTGACCTAGACCTTGAGGCTGCTGTCCAAGGCCATGTTGTGGTCCATTGTTTTGTTGCTGGCCCATGTTTGGCTGGCCCATGTTTTGCTGCATCGCCTGTCCTAGACCCTGTTGCGGTCCCAGGTTCTGCTGTTGCTGCCTCATGCTTTGCTGTTGTCCCAGGCTTTGCTGCTGACCGAGGGCCTGCTGCTGTCCTAGCCCCTGGTGTTGCCCCAAGCTGGGCGGTTGACCGAGGCCCTGTTGCTGGGCGGGGCTCTGCTGCTGTCCCAAGCCATGCTGTTGACCCATGGCTTGCGTCAGGTACATGGAAGGCGGCGTGGGCATCTGCTGGCGCGATGGAGGCCCTCTCTGGCGTCCGACAGGTGCATTGTTATTGGGGACGTGGCTCTGGGACGAGCGCGCGCCGCCGCCAAGGTGTCCATTGACGGGCGTTGGGGTCTGATGGAAAATATGCTGGGGATATGTGCCCTGAGGCGGCTGCTGCGGAGTGTAGGCATGAGGTTGATAGGGAGACGCGTGATGGGTGCTGGGCGAGGGTTTGTTGGTCGGGTTCGCGTGTAGAGGCGGGAAGCTCTGCCCCGGGTGAGATCGGCCGTGCCGGAGGTTGGCCACTTGTGGAAAGTTAAGCCCAGGCTGACTGTTTGGACCCGACATGTCGACAAGAGGAAAGGGGCCGCGAGGTCGCCTGTCAAAGGCTGGACAGTGCTTCCTCTGTCGAAGACGTCGTGACCGACGATGTGATGGAACGACAAACCCTTGATGCGCGGTCTGGGTGTGTCGATAATGGGGGAATGGAGGCGTGGAGTGTGTGTGTGGGTTCTGGAGGTGTGGACAGAAGAAAGATGGGAGCAAACAAGGGCGGGCGAGGGAAGGTGGTGTGAGGGGACAAGGGGAGCAGGGAGAGGAGATTTCCTGCGGACGTAGCGGGCCCGGGGGGGGGGGGGGGGGGGGCGAGGGCAAGTGACTCCCTGCTGCCTGCCTACTTGTTAGGGAGAAGCATAGCGTAACGCCATCAGAGTGGACCCGAACGCGCTGCTGCCAACAAGACCTTCTGGGTAGGACGAAGAGGGAGGGAGCTGCGAATAGGACTGCAAGTCACGTGACTCTACTCCCTCTGATACAAGTGACATCATCCATCGCTGGAAGCGCGTCGGAATTCGCGGCAGCGGGGCGTGGCTGGGTTGTTCTGTCTTGGGCCGCCAAATCGGGGGCGGTATGCTGAGAGTGAAGACAACCAAAAAGTTGGCACGTGTAACGCGACCAACAGTTGTGAACCAAAACACGACTGATGCCTCAAAACAGACATCGGTTGAAGACTGCTCGAGGCGCAGGTCTATCACGATGCGCTTCGGAGACGTGGGGGGGGGTCGGCCCAGAAGACAGGGTATTGCTTGTTGTTACAGGCACTCCTTGTAGGTGCACGCACTTCGGTACTGTGCGGGATGACCCGGCTCGATGACAGTCCCACAACGATCGCCCCGCTGCAACGATATGTACTTGAACAGAGAAAGCTTGATCGAGACAGTAACATTCAGGTGTAACAGATACAAGAGTGCAAGTTCGTCTGTGAGCGGCGATTTTATATTTTTCGTCCGCAGGCCAGAGCAACACGCTCTGATCTACGAGAAGACCTTCACGATTCGGTTGGGCATTTCTGTCATCCATATTGGCATCCCCCGATAGTGCAATAGTGATGCCCACCAGATGCCCTGGCCTGTTGGCTGTCCCTATAAGCTCCTCGGCCATCTCTCAGAACTCAGGAAATGGCATGCCGTCCACACATGACCAAGATGAGCGTCTCAAATCCCTCAGACACTGTTCAATTCTCACATTACAACTCATAACATCAGCCATGTGTGATGACGACGCATGGTCGCGAGTGTGGCATTTTTTGACACGACTATCGCATCAAAAAGGCGAGAGCGGGAGAGTGATGCGTGTGATGAACAATGTTCTTATCCTAGCTGACTCATTAAATCAAATCATGTGGTATCTTATTGCGTAAACCCATCAAACGCCCAACCGTGTTCGCATTATGTCCAAGCCACCTAAGCAATTGACATCTTTGTCGACCAAACTCAGGGACAAGCGTCTTCGATCATTCGCTGTCGTCAACTTTCTTCCTTTTGCTGGGCCTGCGGACCCCTTCGCCGTCGACGAAATGATTTTTGTCGAGCTGGTGCTGCCTCAGGTTGTCAGGTCGATTTTTATACTGGCTCGTGCAGCCTGGGAATGGACATCGATATATTGTAGGAGGCGTCGTTTTGTGCTGTAGCTTCTTGTGCTTCGTCAGAGTGCCTTTGAACCACCTGGGATGCCCTTTGGGGCGGAATCCGCAAATATCGCAGCAGTCCGTTGACTCGACTTTGTTGCCCGCTTCATTGGAGAGATCCTGTTGAGTTGTTTCCAGTTGCTGTGTGACCAGTACGTTCTGCTGAGTGTCGCCAGAACTGCTGGTGGCGCGCGGGCAAAGGCTGTTGTACCCACCAAGATACGTCGCTATCAAACCCTCGGACATGTTATCGTCCAACGTGTCAGGGGCGGCTACGACGTCATCTAATCCGTCGAGCATCATCATGTCATCCAAGTGGTCGTCCTCAAATCCCGTGGTCAATGATGTAAAAATATCATCCAAAGTCTCTTTGTCGGTACTGTTGCCACCACGCGACGTGGAACTACTTTGATGGAGACCAGACATGACGTCTTTCATGATTCTGATACCGCATAAGTGGTAGGTCGCCCGCGATGTGATGTCCGGCGTCGCGTATTCGTAAATTTTATCGCAATGTTGCCGGACTGCTGGTACATATGAATCAAAGTACATATTGGTCGAAAGGTGCCCCTACAGCTAGATTAGCAACAGCCACGAGAACCAGGTCATGTCAAGAACCAACCTTGCCTGCCTGTATCAACTCCAACTCCGCTCTTCGTGGATTTTGTATCTCGCCTGCATCAACACGTTTTTGGAATTTGGCCAGCTTTTTGACAAGACCGAAGGCATTGGGGAATTGGCCTTGCAGCATATTCACGACAAGGCCAACAGTGACCGAGAATCCCTGGTCGGAAACCTTTCCTGCATAGGCATCTCGTGTTTGCTGCACCCAGCTGTCGGACTTCGCAGCGGCGACTGGGTGCGATTCACTGGCAGGAAACGCGGCGTGCTCGAGTTCTATTCGTGTTAAAAGGATCTGATTTGCCACCTTGAATTCAGTGTACAATGTCAACTTACCATCCAGGAAGAACCGAGCTATTTCTAGGAGGTCATCTGCCCCATGAAGGGTCACAATAGGTAGCCCGCACGTCTTGCCCTTGGAGGTCTCTGCTATTGGTAAGGTTCCAAGGTCTTTCTTTAGTAGTTGACCAGCAAGTTCGTCATCAGTCATGTCCAGAGGGTGCCAGATCGACGTAGCGACCTCTAGGTAAAGATTACGGAGTTCAGGAGCGACCAGACTTCCATACAAATAAGCTTGGGCGAAGAGACGTTTCGCCATGCTTTCAGCATCCCGCTCGTAAACAACCAGGGATAACGAGTAGGTGAAGTGTACGAAACAAAGCCAGTCGAGCGGAGAAGCTGGGATCTCACCCTCCAAAATTGCTTGAAGAGTGGCAAGTCCAGTTGTACCGACGGTATGGCAGTCGAGGAATTGCAATTGATGGACGAGGGGGTTGTGTGACATGTGTCGCAGCTTTTGCATTGACGAGGTGATGTGTGTTTGCAAAGTCTCCCAGGCCGAAGTAATCAACGCGTGGGGATTCGTCAGTGGCTGCGTTTTGCTACTCTCTGGCACCTGGATATATGCCTCAGACTTGAAAGAGTTCACGTGAGCCGTCGGTACCGCCGCAGTGTCCGGAACGGTGGTGAGGGTCCCTGTAGAACAATAATCTGTGCTGCTTCCATTCGGAAGGACAGGCAGAATGGGGTCAACAAGGGGATAGTCAGCCGGGAGCTCTGATATCGTCTCATGCAGCTGCACGCTGTCGAAGCAACTTCGACGGCTTGCATTGGAACCGCCTCTTGACAGAAAGCCGCCGCCGTCGGAGGTGGGTGAGGTCAAGTCGGTCTCAAAACCCGACCCTACTGTCCAGGCCCCGCTGAATGCCGATATTGGTGAAATGCCGTGGCTTCCAGAACTCGCATTTGATCTCAGCGATGAGCTTGGGGAAAGCTTTTTCCCCTTGTTCTGTAGATCCAGCCTGCTACGTCTGTAATGTGCTAGGTCATATGTGGTCAGCTGCAGTGCCGGTCGATCGGTCAACTTGGTGTGATCGTTCTCCACCATAGCGGTGCCGGGAGCGCCAGTAAGGAGGTTGAAATCCCAATCGGACAAGGGGCTAGGTATGGATGAAATCATGCAGTCCAGGGCCGCAGCCTGTGTTGGGTGGTCCGTTGCCGGTAAGACGTTAGTCGAACTTGGGTCAAGCAGTGAGGATGCATGTGGGGGAGCCCGGGTTGCTGAAATTTCGACAGAATCAATCTCAACGATCTCGGTAGCGCATGACAGCTCGATCTGCTGGGGCCGAACGTGCAAGGAGCCATAGCTCGGGGGCGGGAGGTCGGTGGTGGCGACGAGATCGAGGTCGGAAGCGCCCTCTTTCCTAGACTTGTGGCCAATGGTCGAGAAGAAGTTCTTCGCGATCTTGAGTATTTTGCGACGTTTCCCGGGGTGACCAAGGCACCGCTTGCACTTGCCATCTGTGAATCTCTCTGGCTTCTCGCATTCATAGCACCAGTATTCTCCAGTGGACAAAAGGTCGCAGGTGTAGAGGTGCTTCAACATCAGCTCATGATCCGGAAACCGCTTCCTGCAGCGAAGCAGAGGGCATTCGAGTTTCTCAATCGGCGACATCTTTTCGCAAGCATTTCGCTGAATGGCGGCCCACACGATGAACCTATGCACAGCGCACTCATCATGAGGTGTTTGACGAGTGCTTTTGCGTATCGCCAGGTAAGTATTTCTCGGGAAAGTCCTTGAAGTGACACCGCAACTTACACACATGACGCCCTCGAGCTCGACTCAAGCGAAGACGTTGAGCTTGAGCTTGTCGTAGAACACGAATCCCTTCTGGAGCGGCTCAGGCTGAGGCGGGGGGAAGAAGTCAATGCTCGTAAGGCTGAGGGGTTCCAGATGCGCGGATGAGCGTCTTCACCAAGTGGCGAGACGGGCTTCTTCGCAGCCATGATCAGATTGAAAAATGTCGGCCAAAAAACATTCAACAATGCAAGAAATGAAGGACAACCAATCCGCTACCCATGTTGAGTTTTATTCTGCTGGGTGCTCGGAGGTTGGAGGCGGAGTGAAGACGGCTTGAGGGGTTCCCTCCCACGCGGTCCATTGTCATGTCCTAGATCCCGGTTTGTAGGACTCGGCGCCGTAGGACTTGTTGTGACGGCGGCCTGCCTGCTACTAGGGTCAGATCTGGCTGCCTCCCCGGCACATGCAACGTATGGGGCTTGGTCAGAGTCAGCACGCTCAGCCTGCATTGATTGGCGGACATGCAGTGGAAAGGCCGTTGAGCAGGTACCCAAGCGCTCTTTCCGGCCGGTAGCTACCTAGGCACCCACCTGTACATGTCGGCAGCTCATGTAATTCAATGATGCAGTCAAATGGTCGGCACAACGGCATGCAATTTGCTTGTGTTTTTGAAATATTAATTCTTACAATATTGCAGGGGCACTGGCCTTGCCACCATCCGATGGAATGGTTTCGACGAGCGAGGCTGGTGATGACAGATTTTTCTGGCAACTCGTATCCTTTTTGGGGGTTGAGACTTGGCCCGTACTTTCCATGTCCATCAATAACAGCCCTTCAGACAGGCACGGTTTTCGGCCAATGGCCTTCCACAAGCTGCCTGGTAAGGCGCACTGGCGGCCGTGATTATGCCTTGGTCTGAGCGGAAGTCACCACGCTTTGGAGCAAATTGATGTAATCGGTCACCTGGTCTGCCATCATTTGTCAGGGACCATCATTTGTGAGGGGGACAAGAACAGACATCACGTTCTGCCTTGGTTGAGGCCGGACTGTGAAGCCAACAAGTCTCGACTCGACAGAAGTCGCTTGTGGGGATTATTACATAGCGATAATACCAGAGGACCGTGAGAATACACTGACTAATGCAATACCATTGATCGATAGATGGCTGGGCTGTGATGGCAGTCAGTCATCCTGATATACAGGAGCGTACTCATTGGTTCCGTCGATCAGTCCGAGGGCGTTGTCATACCTAAAGCATGTGAACAATAGTCCACAGACAGTGAAATTTTTTGTTTCATTGCTGACGATGGCAGTACATACCACGCTCAAGAACAAGTACAGGTACAGCGGGACACGGCGGACGAATGAGTTGCGGCACATGGGCTCAATATCTTGAAGCATGCGAAACAACAACGGGCCTTGCACCCGTCGAAGTCTGTCTGTCGCTACATCCATGACGAACGACGCGAGAGAAAGGAAGGGACAGCAAGCGGGGTAACCAGTCGTACCTACCACCTTGACAGAAGGTGAGGACGTCATACTGCAATGTTATGCTTTTCACTCAAGCAATGCTTTATGAAAATGATTTAGCCCCCTGAAGACATTGCATTCAATGTATGAAGTCTACAAGAGGCTTCTCGACTGGCGTCTCGATAGACAAGGCGTGTTCTCCGGCGATGTGACTCCCAACTTGCCGATTCGTCCGTTCGAACAACGGCCCCGCGTGTCGTCTCGTCACTTCTCCGACCATAACCCAAGACGTTGACGATGTGCTACTGCCCACGAATCGACCTTACGCAAGCTTGCTTCTACTCATACATCCAAACTGACTCGTTACGATCAGCATGTCGCAGGCCATCCCCGACTCACCGCTTGCGTCGACTTTTCATGGCCAACCATCGTCCCGATGATGGGAGCGCTTTGCAGTACTTCGAGCAATCAAAGCCGTAGTGTACCGTCAGACCGGAACCCCACGGGACTGCCAGTCATGCGATCAACGCCATTCGAGCACAACTAGCCCTTACGGGCCCATCTGGACTTCTATCACATCCTTTATCAACGAATACAAACGCCAGCTAGACGCCATGTCGAAATCCCAAGGTGACAGGCAGACAGCCCGGCGCGTTAGCCGTCCAACCGTGCGTCCCTGTCGTCGCTGGCTAGGATGTCGAGAGCTGTAAATCCGTCCCCCACGGCCACGTCTCGCTCACATTCGAGTTTTCCTCATTGCAGGTCAAGCAGCGTCATCGCGGATTCGATGGCGCGATACCCACTCGGCGATCTTCAGGATGCACCCCTAACATGTCCACCATTTCCCCTCCCCACGTCCCTGTCTTCTCCAATTGAACGTGCGATCACGACGAAGGTTCGAAAGGACAGTCCCCCTCTTCCCTGCGACGGCAGATCCTGCGATCACCGTGGGTCCGCTGAGCCTTCCGCTGACGAAACCCCCGTTCGATGTGACACCGATACGCCGCTCCTGTCTATTGCAGGTGTCCCAATGTGTCCAGCGTTTCATGTTGGCCCTTTGTACTCGTCGCTAAAGCAGGCAAAGCCTTCTGGTCCGCTTGTCTGGGCGTCTCGGATTTGGAGTTTCTCCTGCGGTGTGGCACCGAAGCACCCAATCACGCGGTAACCTGCTCAAGACCCAACAAGGGAAGGTCTGTGCCGCTGGTCTGGACCAACGCCCAACATCGCAACTTTTCAACTAGTCCTCAGCGGGCTGCGGCGCCAGTCGGCATCATCATCTTGATCCAGCAGCGTGGGCAAGCCCAGGGCGGTCGTTTGGGCACGCTACCGTCAGCTGCTCTGTAGCGTCAGGTCCAGAATCTGGACTCGGAACAGCGGCTGGGGACGACTCCAAAACGGAGCTGACATTTCATTAGTTGTTAGCAAGAGGACAATTTTGTTTGTGAAAGCGGAGGCGGAGGTTGAGCTGATCACTCTGACCCCTTGAACCTGCCACAGACCCTTGGCTCCCCAGGGATCACGGACCCAGGCTACTGATCATGAGAGACTGGATGACCAACAAGGATGTGCTCGTTGGCCCAGCGCCCAAATGATCAATGTCCAAGAGGCTGGCTTCATGGCGTGTGATGTGCCATCTCATCGGTTCACCGGCCGGAATGCGCTCGTCGTGCGTTCTACATCCAACGTCGTTATCGTGCAATTACTGGTCCACAGCCAATACTAGCCCCTACCACTGCAACACACCACGCACGCGAGCCTGCCGACCGAGCCACCAACGGTACAGTCGACGCACTCGGCAGCAAACATAACGATCGGAGAATACAAAAGCAAGATATGGGAACCCTGTGCGTCCACTTCTCGAATATCTGATTTGCAGGCCACAGCTCTGAGCGGCAGGTCCCACCCCTCCACATTTATCAATCCCCATCTATACCCCCTGACGCTCAGCTGTTGGCTCCAAAAGATCCTCGTACACAGGGTTGACAAGCCATGGCGGAGAACTTTCAAACGTCATTGGCCTATGCAGACATCCCCACGGTCCCCTATCGAGCCACAAGCAGACCCTTAATAGGATTCTGCAAGATGCCCGGTGCGGATTTGGTCTGGCGCCTTCGCCCGCCAGTGTTTTTGCATCTGATCACTCCTGTGGAAACAGACGAGAGGCGATCTCATGGGGTCAGATCGTTTCGTATCTTGGTTTGAAGGAGTCGTTTCTGGTTCGCCATTAACACATCACCGTACATAAGGGTGGGCAGTGTCCGACCCCATTTGCTTCGTCCCTTGTTGGCTCTCTAATGTCTTGCCAGGCGATATTTCGCCTCCATTCCGGCCTTTGCTACCATTTCACTTCGTTCGCAGATCTATTTTGGCACACCCTAATCAAGTCAACGCTTTCAACGCATTGCAATTTTTTTTTCCTTTAGTTTTGGATCCAGGTTTTATACAGCCGCCCGGTACTTCATCTCCCTCGGTGCATACATCTAGACCGCATCCCCTGGTCGACGCCCAGGCACCTGATCCTTCCCGAACCCTGACTCGACGGTTCCTTGTCGAATCGGGTGAGGAAAAAAAAGGATCTTCCTGCTCATACAGCACGGGAGGCAATATTTCAGCTCAAGATCCCTCGTCGTTGGCCAGCCGGTCCCGGTCTGCATTCCTTCTTCGCCGTCTAGACTCATCTCATCTACTTCACATTGTTACCCTCAGTCGGGTAGGCTCAACCACAGCCGAAGTGGTACAGAGAAACCATGGAAGCATCACATTACACAGGAGTCAGAGAGTTGGATCTCAGCAACTGGCATGCCAATGCTGTTGCTGAGAAGCTCAATCATGCCGTCCCTGCCATCAAATCCAGTGCAGGTGAGAGAGCTCCTGGTTAACTTTTGTTATGTTTCCTACATCCTGTTCCGTAGTTGCACGACGATTGTCGCCGTGGTGCAGGTTTCGATGTCTCATTCTTGGGACGAAATTCATGCTTTTTTTTATCTTCATGGCGAAGATGTCTTGACCTGATTCTAACTTCATCGCAGCCTTCCTCTCCTTTCTGCGCGCCAATCTGGCCCTTGACCCTATCACTATCTCACACACAAACACTCCAGTTCTGCGGCCCGCAGCGAATTACTCGCCTCCGCCGTCCCCTTCTTCCCAGGCCTCTGATCCACCCCTGACGCCCCTCGACGACATACCAAACCTCTCTCTTGAGATCCTCTCACACCCAGCAGACAAGGCTCAAGCACTGAACCTCATCTCCGAATCGATCGTCGAGCAGCGCCAACAGACTGCCCTGTCTCTCATCCTCCACCCCCTGAGTATCGCTGCTGTCGTCACAGCCGTCGCCGTTGTTCATCATCAAACTCGAAGCGTCTATCAAAACGTCGGCCTCGCCCACTCCATTGCAACCATCACGATCTTCCTTCTCGCGTGTCTCGCCATCATCCACTACCTTACTCTCCCATACGCAAATATTGCTTCTTCCATCTCGCCATCCTACCTGCACCCCACAGCTCCCTCGCCCCTCCGCGCTGGCACTACAACGGCAGCCAGTGCATGTGACGAGGACTTTCTCCTCGCCGCCCGCTCCGGTCCCAACATAATTGCCGCTGTCGTATTACGTCTTGAACCAAAGCAATCCCTCGCTCTCTCTGCTGGCGGATTTTCCGTCACCGGACCCCCTTCTGGTGGCAAGAAGCGCAGCAGGGGAAGCAGCGGCAACGCCGGACCGCTGCGTGGTGGCAAAGGTGTTATTCGCGCGTGGACAACGGGTCGAAAATGGCGCGGCTGTGGTGTCGGTGCTGATTTGCTGCATGAGGCAGTTCGCGTAACACGGGAGCGTTGCGGGCGCGATGCTGAGGTTGGCTTTGCGCTGGAGCATGTGCACAGCAAGATGGTCCTACCCGAGCTGTTCAACGTGGCAGCCCGGAAGCAGGAACGGCGAGCTGCAATGGCGCTGGAGAGAGTTATTGGGGCTTGGGAGGCAGCCAGGCGACGAAAGTGAGCCAGCCACTGACGGCGACGAGTTTCTGGGAAGAACTTGTGGTTCTGCAAATATGCAGCGTATAATGGGCTCGGAATTTTTGATAGAACCACCACTCCGATGTCGTATACAGGGAGAAGGTCTGTCGTGATGGGACTAGTGCCCTCTGGCCTCGTGCTCTTACTCTTGTCTACTCTTTCTTTTGGTGGAGCTGTTTCTTCACTTCTCATCGATACCCCTCGTTTATAGCGTACGTTAGCAAGCTGCTACGGCAGTTTTGGATATTTCTGATAATACTTTTTCCTCGGTTGGAAGGTGCTTCGCAGCCTAAACAGCAAATATACGAACAGGACAATTGTTCAAGCAAAAGGTGCGAAACAGGATACGCCGTGACATTCGGACTATTCCAGCCCTACAAGATGACCAGATCCCTGGTCCAGGCTGTGAAAGTGATGAAAAGCTTCCATGCCACGGCTCACTCTTGATTGGGGCCGAACTCATTTCGTGATCATGTATCAAGGACAGCCTTTTATCTTTTCTTCGTTAGGCTGAACTCTGTGTCCGTGCCCGGATCAAACCCATAGAGGGGCTGTCCGAAGCGTCGGACGGTAAACAGAACCTAATCCAAGGGGTTGAGTCAGGCAGTCATCTGGAAGATGTATCGAGGCTGGTATCAACCTACGTCCTGGACCGTGATAGTCTTGGCCTTTCTATACTCAACGTATTTGATACAATCATTGATGATCTAAGACAATGTTACTGACACAGCGGTCACTAAGGGTAGGGTCATCGCGATGCCTTTCAAAGAGGAACATACCAGTTTCAGCCTAGCTATTAAGACCTCACGAATCTGTACAAAATCAACTACTTCTCCGAAGAAAGATAGCCTCAATGCAGGTGGCACTCACGTCGTTGTATATAGTTCCAGAGATGAATTTGACTCCTCCTCGGCGAGCTAGACGTCTGGGCCGTGACGATTAGTGAGGAAATTAGATATTGGACGGGCATGAGGAGGCCCTTGCCGCTCTCCTCTGCGCCTTGCAAACGGGTCACCGTATGTCATGAAAAGAACAGAAGTCTATCGACATTGTGGGCAAGGCGTCTGTGAGAGTCTGAAAGGCAACGCCGTCCAGCAACGTGCCCACTACCCAGCGCGAGAGCGAAGTAGGAGACTTACCGAATGTCCGGCTTGGCTGGAATAGATAAACTGACTCAGCTCTCTGCAGTGACTAGTGTGATTCGTGTTTGGAACTTATTTACGTACTGATGCCGCGGATGGCGTCCTTCTTCATCTTCCTATAGCCACTATCAGAAACGGCACCCATACAGATGTGCGAGCGAGACTCCAGGTATAGAAAAACTTACCGCATGCGTTGAGGGCCGCCGAAGTAGGACTTACCCCTTCCTACCCCCACTGGTCCACCTTTCTGAGTAACACTAGGAGATGGCATGGCGTTGCCTGGAGCCACCAATGAGGGTGTGTTTTTACCGACGTGGGTTGTATTTGAGTGGTGTATGAGTGGTTGGGGAAGATCGCTTGAGGGCGACACTGGTGGTGAACGTCGCAAAGATGGTGTAAGGACTTGACGTTGGCGACGGAGGGAGCAGTCGAGACCGAGCTAGCCGTTTGTTCAAGGCAAAGGCGCGTAGTGTACGTGTGTGCAGGAAGTACTACCAACCTAATGTGATGGTAGAGACGGAGGCACCCGCGACGAAAGTGGATAGGTTAAGTAATTCCTAACGTTTCTGCCTATGCGTCTCATTGTGATTCTTTGCAGGGAACTTGTCGGGTTCCTGGGCACAAGGTCTGAGCTGCAACCTGCAGGCTCTAGGCATGGCGGGCAAATGATGCAGATACCACTGTTCTCGACAAAGTTCTTCCCGCCTTTCGTCAGGGCAGTGAACTTGTGTTTCAGTAGTCGCCATGTCGCACATTGTGCCATGTAGCGTGAATTGCGGCCTTCACGCAGCTTTGTTAAGCTGCCAAGCACGAAAACAAAACGAAAGCCAACGCTCGAAACATGGTAAACGGAAGTGTATTAGTTGAAATGTGGTACTGATAGGCTCGGCAAGGACCCTGCCAGCGCCAAGACCAATCGAATTTAAATGTTCTGAAGCGACTGAACGGTCCGTCTCTATTAACGCCTTAACCAATGGCATGCATACTAATCCAACTCAATCGAGCACGTAAAAATTATGACTTACGCCTCAGAGATGAACGTGGCCTCGCTGAACAGCTGGCCCTCCTCTGAGATCTCCTCGTCGCCAATCTTCAGCTTGAGTGTAAGCTTCTTCTCCTGGGGAGAATACTGTCGTACTTGTTAGCTAGACGCTTGGATTCGACATGCAAGTACGACTCGCGATGCTGCTTACCTGGTAAATATATGGCTTGGTTCCCGCAGCACCTGCGACGATCCTCTTGACAAATGCAGGCACCTCGGCCATGACGTCAACCCTGTCGAGACGCTTACCCAGATCACCCTCGATAACAGCCTCCACAGCCTTGCCGTCCTTCGTCTTACCAGACCAGGTGAACTTGATCGCCTCAGGCTCGGGCCACTCGCTCTCCGAGTCCGTCTTAGTCCTGGTGTGCGCGACGGTGCTGTCGACACCGCCAATAATGATCTCACCGTCCTTGGCAATACCGCCAATAGTGACCGTGGTGGTGCCATACGAAGGCGGGGTGACGAACTGCATGAGGACAGCCGAGTAGGTGGGGGTCTGGAAGTCGGCAAAAGTCCAACGCGCTGCGGCATGGTGCGGCTTCATGCCCTGAAGTGCGAACGAGTAGAAGGCCTTGCCAGTGAAGTCGATGGGGCCATCGGGGGTGGTGATGGTGCCCTCAGCGGCGCACCTCGGCCAGAAGGCGTGGCGCATGGAGCCCCAAGGATTTCCGAGGTCAGTGCCGTACAAGGTGTTGCCAGTCTTGCCGGCAACGAAACCAGGCGCCTTGCGAGTGATCTTAAGGTTGACGATGGATCGCTTATCGTTCAAGCTCTTGATCGTATAGTTTGTGCCATCCTCCGAGAGATCGAGTGCGCAGTCGTCGGCGTAGAAGCTGGCCTTGTCCTCGCTGAAACCGTGGTTGCTCAGCTGCGTAGAGCACCAAAGGTGGGGCTTGGAGCCATCGAGGTAGAAGATCTTCGAGTTGAACTGGACAGTGGTGTGGATGCCACTGGGAAAGTCAGCACAAGGTTCATTCTGAGATGATTCAGTCATGGACGCACGCGACATTGCTGTAGATGACTTGGGCGAGAGCGAGGTGCTTTCCATCGTCCGACATCAAGTAGAAGCTCTGAGTCTCGACGGACGTAGAGTCCATAGCCTTCCACTTCAGGTCGTCCCGGGTGAGCTCGGTATGGCTGGTCTCCTTTGCCTCCTCAGCGACGGTCCTGATGGCTGTAGGGCCATAGATAGGCTCCTGAGTGCCCGCGACATCGGCGAGCCTGGTCATGTGGTCAGCCTAGGGTGAATCTCGAAGCAAAGGGCTGCTAGAAGTGTACTTTTGCTTGGCCCAGTTAAACATAATGACGGGTGGGTGTAAAAGGTGGCCTGGGGGGATAGATGGAGATGCGGAGCAAGAAGAAATTATTATCCTGTGAACAAGCTTTGAAGTACTGGGTTGCAGTGGATAGCCGTGTTACTCTAGAAATAGAGGCTGAAGGGAAGATTTGTTGGACGGAACACCGGGTGACCGCTCCTTGACGTTTGTGGAGGGGTCGTTCAGTGATGGGGAGATATGGGCGATAATGCACAAGGTGTGGCGCACGAAACCAGAAGTCCCGTCATAGTGGAGCCCATCGTCGATTCGGCAGCAGTCACTGGCCGAATTCGTACGCAACAATGCCTAGCACCCGAGCTTGACCCGGACCCACCAAGGTGCTGTGCTTCAGGGGAATGTGTGGCTAGTGCCACCTGGGGGGGTGCGCGTGGTCGCGAGGTGCCAAAATTTCCAAGCACATCAATCACCTATTACCGACCTCTCAATCGTCACCCACGTCATCAACAACCAGCGATTGGAATCCCGCTACCACGATGTCAAAAGTTGCGAGAGATCAGCTCGTGAAGCTGATTGTTGGTGCCGGCCAGGCCAGCCCCAGCCCCCCCGTTGGTCCGGCGCTGGGTAGCAAGGGTGTTAAATCGATGGATTTCTGTAAGGTGAGCTACTACTGAACGCTCGTTGAGCTTGGATTGAACGCTCGTTGAGCTTGGATCGAACACCGTCAACAACAGCTCCAGCCTCGCTGACTGCGTTTATCTCGTAGGAGTTCAATGCGCGTACACAACACATCAACACCGGAACACCGCTGCCCTGCAGGGTTATTGTTCGCGGAGACCGATCGTTCCACTTTGACATTCGCACACCACAGACCTCGTGGCTGCTTCTGAACGCTGCCGAAGTCGAGGTCGGGCAGAAGGGTCGGAGGAAAGGCGCCAGCACCCCCGGCCACCAGACGGTCGGCACCGTCAGCCTGAAGCACATTTACGAGATCGCAAAGATCAAGCAAACCGAACCGCGTCTATCGGGTCTCAGCACGAGGGGTCTTTGCCGAGCCATCATCTATCAGGCAAGGTCGATTGGCGTCAATGTTGTACCATGAGGGGGATGGATTTCTTGCAACTACAGCAACATGAGCCGGCGCAAAGCAGAGAAGGAGGAGAGCCATTAGGAAGATGCTCGTCTGTATACCATCGGGCTGGCACGAGATGATGTGCCGCTGTATAACATTGAAAGGCGCAGCGTGTTTGTTGCAGGGTTTTGGGGGCGACATAGATGAACAATTTGGAACTTGAAATCAACGATCTCCAGCAGAAGGGATTACGTCGCAATTGTCGTAACTGATGCTACCTGGAACGCACCACCAAAGTCCAGACCTTCGCTCGCAACCGGGACCGAAGGCGCGGTTCGGGACATGTTCGGTACATGTTCACCTGGCCGCGTATCAACCTTGCAGAGCCACGACGCCTGCAAATGGTGTTCCATGACAACTTATTCTCACTCCTTACATGATAGACACCGGTTGTATGATCATGTAATGCCAAGCCAATTTGTTGGCAAGCTAGGTGATTTGTGCAACACATCGTATGTCTGTCAGTTATCCTGAAACCTGGCCAGAGTTCCTTGCCGTATCTAGGACAAGGCATTGTGATTCGGAGTTGGCAATGACCAACTCGCCGCATGCGGATGTTGGCCATCATCAAGCAAACGAGGGAGACCAATGGATTGGGATGTAGTGGAATGGCGGGGGCCGAGCGGCGTCATGCAGAAGAACATTCCAAGGTGGACCCTGGCTGACACCAGCAGCACCTCAGTTGGACACATGGAAATGCCGTTCGCGCCAACGTTGGCGTTTTCGTCAGGCACCGAAAGTGGCTGCTGAGCTGCACACAGCAGTAGGAGGGAGACTCTGCCCCAAGCGTTCACGTCAAGGGTCGTAATCGTGAGGAGACCTATGAATGTTAAGTGCCGCGGCCCAACACCACTAGGTTCTTAGGTTTTTTCATTGGTGCAATAGAAGTGGCAGGCAACGATGCCTCTGGCTCACATGTAAGTCAGCTTGCCTCGCTTGCAGACGGTGTTAGGACATGACTAGCTTGCCTCATCCAGTCCAGGTCGGTGCACTGCAACAGCTGAAGAGGAAGGAAAGAAAAATTGTTTCCTTGTCGAGATTTTCTTTCGTCTCGCAAGGTCATTCGCCTCTTCTTTTTTTCTTAGAAAAAAATTGCCCCTCAGGAGGCGTTTGCCTCCAGCAGGCTCTGTACGTACAACAAGAGTCATCGGCGTTCTGGATATGCAATCGGATGGACCTTTGGAAGTGGTCGAGACTCGAAAAACTGGAGATTGCCAGGCTATTTGGGCGTCCCGCTGACGCGTTTGCTAATACCCTCCTCTGCTTGGCTGGACAGATGTAAGGGCGGATGGTCACCGCTGTCGTCAGCCGCCGCTTCGTAATTTTCTGGTGGCAGTCAGTCCGTAAGGTGCATCGACGTGAATGAGGACCGGGCGTGTAGGATGCCAATTTTGTTGCTGATGGAGACGAGGCGTGATGTGATTGCGTCGGTTGCGATGGGTGTCTGACAGAGGATCCAGGTCCTGGATCTGCCTTGGGCGGCATGGGCTGCCGGGCGCTCGGAAGCGGCGCCGGGGGCGGTAACAGCTGGGGGGTGACAGAGGATCCTGTAAATCTGCCAAGTGCTGAGCCCTGTCTGGCGTCCCTGGGGGGGGGGGGAAGAGATCAAGCCCCGTGGTGCATGTGGAAGGTTGTTGCTGGGCTCGCTGCATCAACCCGACGACCAGGGCCGATCCAGGCAAAGGTAAGGCAAGGCAAGGCAAGGCAAGGGCGCCCCACCATCCGCAATTGGTGTCGCGGCACTGCACCTTCGAGGCTAGTGCTAATCTGGTAGGTTAGTGGATATCCCATCTTTTTATCAGCCAGAGGCCCGGTCCTCATGCCGACCTAGACCTCTCTGATTTCGTCTCTTTCCCCGCCACCCTCGCTCGAAACTCATTCATGTGCTTATGCTGTCGTCCGTGATATCGACTTAGCTCTGAGCAGCTTTATACCGACAGAATCACAATTCGCCAGCATGGCTGCCTCCGAAGCCGATGTGAGGTCTCAGGGACCCGAGTCACAGTCACAAGGTACGCTTCCGCAACTTCCGGATCGCTGCACGCCTGGAGCAAACCCCGCCCTCGGGCCGCACCTATTTCGACTCAGGAAGCCATGACATGTGCCCCCCTCACACTCATGATCGTACTGACCTCTTTTGTGCCTCGCGCACGACATGCAGATCCCAACAACATCATTGTCACACAGCCAGACGAGAAGAAGGACATCGACAGCACCCCCGACAAGGCGAACCCAGGTGTACACTTCGCCCCCACCGTTGAGGAGATCGCTCCCGCGGCCCCGACGTCGACGATCTCGAACCCCGCCCACGAAAACACTGATGCCATTTCAGAGGTCATGTCGGATCAGCTCAAGGAGCTGACCACATCGCTGCAAGCCACGAATCTTCAGGGCCGGCGCCTCAGCCGCTTCGCCTTTGACCCCTACTCGTTGCCCGCCTCGAGGGTACGTAGCTCGCCTTTCTTTCCCACCTAGTTGAGCATTCTAGGCTGTTTCAGACAAGCCGTGCCGCTCCATCGCAGTATCCATGATGCGACTTGACAGGAACACCATATCACCTGCGCTTCATCTGCGCTCACTTCTCGGCCATGTGAACATGAATACTTCGTGGTTGCAGAGCTGCCTGTGATTGTTCTCGGCCCATGAAACTTCCAGTACACGTCATCTACGAGGTGTCTACGTTGGCTTAGTTTTTCACACCTCATTGCTAACCCCAACACCTTGCAGGTCCCGTCTCATGAAGACGAGTCCGCTGGCTCGACGCGCTTGCCAACCCCGAGCCGAGGATCGCCCCATTTGGGTCCGGCAGTGCAGCAAATGCAGTCTCCGCCTTTGACGCCTTCGGGTACCGATGCTATCGCCAAGGGTAAAAGCACCACTGGCAATGACACGGCTGCTATAACGCCGCAGGCATCTACCTCACACGACGGCACATCCCCTCATTCCGCTCGAAGGGGAACAGCTCCCCGTTCAACTTCCAGCGACCAGGTTCCACAAGGCGGAGACCATGGCGATGATACACATCAAAGGTCGCATCGTCGCGGTCTGTTCGATATCGGACCTGGAGGCTCGACGCCCGTCTCGCGCGAATCTAGTCCTTCTCGCGCTTCACAGTTCTACTCGAAACCCTTGACGCCTCAAGGAGACGCGAATGATCCATATGCCGCCAACAAGCGTCAGCCGCTGAACAAATTTACCGATCGAAACAACGTCGAGTCGAGGTTCCAGTTCAGTAAAAGGAAGCCAGGGCAACACTCTCCCTCGAGCTCAACCACTAGTCTCGTAAACAACGACAAACGTCACTCGACACTCTTTGGTGGCCGCCGGCACCATCGAGAAGAGATACAGGACAGTGATTCGGCCAGCATGCATGCCAAGCAGGGTTCTTTCGCAGATCTGAAGAGATTTTTCAAAAAGGGCAACCACCACAAGGCAAAGAGAGACCCTTCGCAAACAAGCCAGAGCTCAGGTACTCGGACGCCCCCAGCCTCGCGGTCCGGACCACAACGACAGCCGTTTGGCGATGACCATGGCTTGATATCAAAGTATGGCAAGCTGGGCAAGGTTCTCGGTTCCGGAGCTGGCGGCAAAGTCAGGCTTATGAAGCGCCACGACGATGGAGTTGTGTTCGCGGTGAAGGAGTTCCGGGAACGTTATGGGTACGAAACCCAGAAAGAATATGTTAAGCGATTGACGGCAGAATTCTGTGTCGGGTCGACCCTCCACCACGGCAACATCATTGAGACGCTCGATATCTTGCAAGAGAAGGAGCGCTGGTACCAAGTGATGGAGTATGCCCCTTACGACCTCTTCGCCATTGTCATGACGGGCAAGATGAGCCGCGCCGAAATCACCTGCTGCTTCTTGCAAATTCTGAATGGCGTCACGTACCTCCACAGCTCGGGTCTGGCGCATCGCGACCTCAAATTAGATAACGTTGTCGTTAGCGACAAGGGCATCATGAAGATTATCGATTTTGGTAGCTCTCACGTCTTCAAATATCCATTCGAGAGCAGTATCATCAAAGCTACTGGTAGGACAGCCCTTTATCGCACTTTGGAGCTATGAAACGCTGACGTTTGGCAGGCATCGTTGGATCCGACCCTTACCTGGCACCCGAGGTACTAACTGGAGGCAAGTACGACGCAGAGGCTGTGGACATTTGGTCGCTCGCGATTATCTTCTGCTGCATGTCTCTGCGTCGGTTCCCGTGGAAGGTCCCGAAAATGACGGACAATTCATTTAAGCTCTTTGCTGCTGAGCCCACGCCTGGACACGACCCTAAGAAGCTAGTCCTGCCATCGCGGTCCATGAACGACCTCTCAAACACCCCTGCACGAGACTTCTTCGGCGGCGAGGAAGAGGAGCACGAAAGGAAACACCACCATCATCACCACCATGGTCACTCTCGCCACACATCGCGTACTGAGGGAGATGTCGCTGCGGAAGCCAACAACAATGGTGACGCACCACCATCAGAGAAGCGAGCTGCATCACCTGAACCTGCCAAGTCGGAGACCGCGCCAAAGCCGGCCACGATCCGAGGCCCGTGGCGCGTGCTGCGTGTCCTTCCCAGGGAGAGCCGGCACGTCATCAGCCGCATGCTCCAGGTTGACCCGAGGGAGCGAGCCAAGATGGAGGAGATATTGAAAGATCCTTGGATTGGTAATAGTGATATTTGCCAGCAATTTGGACCTGGCGGCGAAGTCAAGCTGGCTGAAGGCCATACACACATTCTAGAGTTCCCTCAGCCGCAACCCGGGAATTAGGGTGGTTCCGACACCCAGGACGAAGGGTATGGGAAGAGAAGTTAATGGGAATATTGGTGGGGGCGTTCGGTTGTATTCGGCTCATACCAGGTTTCGGCATTGGATTACATTGTCAGTCAAGCGCAGAAGATACGGGGTATAGAATCAGGAGCAATTTGGTAGAGCGAACGACAGGTTATTTGTGTTTGAGAAGACCTTGGACTGCATGTTGTGATAGATAGGTAGATTTTACGGCTTGAAATGACACGCCGTGAATCTTGATGAGGCTCTGACCGACTGTTGTTTGTTATGGCCAGCTCCACACGACCGAGAAAGGGGCATAGGCACGGTGCGCGAGTTGCGGTAGTGATTTATAGCCACACTGTGCTACGATGTCGGACCTCGGAAAAAGCGAGGGGCCGCTTGGACCCAAAAAATTGTTGCTGGGCAAATGGGGGATTCTGGAAGCTCTTGGAACAGAATAGCTTCAGACCAAAGAACTGTCCCTGACACAACAACACCTTAAACCACACCATCAACATCCTCTATTGCCGCATCCCACGCCCTCGCTCCCCGTAGAACAGCTCAGATCCCGTCACAATGGTACGTCATCTTCCATCTTGCGTTTGGTGCACTTCAATGGCTTTCGACAGTCTTTCGACAACTGCGCTCCGCTCTTCGAGCCACTACTTTACAGATCACAATGCGCCATAATACCAACGCCAACCGGATCGCAAGCTAATGTGATCACCTACTCCAGGCCACCTCTATCCGCTCCATCCGCTCTCTCGCTCCTCTCCTCGACCGCGTCCTGATTCAGCGCGTCAAGGCCGAGACCAAGACCGCCAGCGGTATCTTTCTGCCCGAGTCCAGCGTCAAGGAGCTGAACGAGGGCAAGGTTCTCGCCGTCGGCCCCGGTGCCCTCGACAAGAATGGCCAGCGTCTGCCCATGGGCGTCAACTCTGGTGATCGTGTCCTGATCCCTCAGGTATGTATCGCCATCTGCGAAGGGACCAACACTAGGCCCCTTGGGTTCGGAGCTGTTGTGACTTACTCGTTTGCAGTTCGGCGGTTCCCCCGTCAAGGTCGGTGATGAGGAGTTCCACCTGTTCCGGGACAGCGAGTGAGTTGATCTGGCCCCTTCCGTTCTCGGGTGCACAATGTTCTATGATCAGCTTTAGTGGACTGACACAGCTCTAGGATCCTGGCGAAAATCAACGAGTAAACGATACCCCTTCAATACGAAAAGCCCTAGCAAAGACAAATGTAAAACACGGTGTACCAAAAGATGGAAACGATTTTCGGGGGCGGACATTTCGGCTTTGGCATAGAATTCCCGGTGTATTGTAATGTACGGCGCGTGGCGTGCAGCCGCGAAGTAGTCTTCCCGGGTGGACTGGGCGTCAGCCCGACCTCGCCAATCGAAGTTAACTCTGCTCACTTCTTTATTCACACCTACCATCACCATGAAGCTGATGTGTTTTGTACCGAGGAGTGGGATGTCCGTAGGTGATCGTTTCACAGCCGAGCACCCTCTTGAGAGCCAAAGGGGTGCTCGCAGACGGACCACCCCTGGCGGCCCTGCCCAGATTAGAGCTCAGGAAAAAGAAAAGGCATCGACGACTGCCAGCGCAGAGACGACAACCATTCAGCCTCTCTTGCCACTTGCTTCAAGTACAGCCGACTAAATCAGGGGGGCGCGGCTGCTTGCAGGACACCCGATAGCCACATGCTCGGGGTCACCCAATCAGGTTTTCTTGACAGACGTCGTGCCTCCTGGATGATCGTCGGCTGGTAATTGACCCTCCGTGCTTTTCCTTTCGCCAAGCAAGCGGCCATGCTTGTTACTCCCAGCCCTGTCTCGGGGGCGTCGGTGCGTCCGGCGCCAAGGTCGGCTGCCGTGACTACAGGCGATACGTCGCGAGAAAGATGCTGCCCCTTTCTTTGGTGAGTTGAAAGCACCCGTCGGCTTCGTGCCTTAGCTCGACCGGACTAAGGTATCGTGCCGTCTGACATTTACAAGCCTTGCGGGGTAAGACTGAGGCGACGGGCTAGAGACGACGACGATCGTTCAGCAGGTCATCCATCATCATGATAAGGTTTGTGGTAAGCATCAACTTGCTGCCATCTGACCCGCTGATAGTACCCAGCCTCAGGTTGACCGCCAGCTAGAGGCCGTTCATCGCCCACGGAACGAGGCCGCCATCCCTCCACCTCAGTGTTGGATGAGCGCCCTCGAATGACAAAGCAAGTCGACAAGACGAAATCGTTCGTTTCATCCTGTCTTGCTTGATCGCACGCTAGAGTACGCCATCGGCTTCGAAGGACTACGAGAAAGGGCTGGATTTTCGGCCTGCAAAGCTTGCAGACGACGCCACGACCCTTCTGCCCTTCGGCTAGAGAGCGCGCGCACGAAAATGCGTGTTGCTTATGCTGCAGCCGCGGTGGCGTGAATCAATCAGGAGATGCTCATTTCAGGGGCTGCTTGATGCTATGTGCAACACATCGTGGTGATGGGGTTGTGCTCTATCTTGTCCAAATGCCCTGTCGGCAGATCATTCTCATGTTTGAACCCGAGTGCGCGCTGAATATAAAAGTTGGTCCATGATCACTAAAAATGACTTTGGTCTGTCTTCTCCTCATCCTCTTTCGACCTCTAGGTCTTTGGTAACTGTCATTACACTCATTCATCTTCGCCGCTATTGTTTCCAAGCCTCGGGCTTTGGAGTTCTTTCATTCATTCACTCCTATTATCTTGCCCAGCAAGACACTGTTGAACAGTGTACATCAACTTTTGCCGTCCTCTTCCCTTGCTCAGAAAACTCTGCGTATCATCGTACCTTGCACGTGGCAGGCTCACAGCACGCTGTTCCACACCAATCGGATTTATACAAAGACATTACCATGAACTTTAAGGCCGCCGTGGTGCTCGTCCTTGGGGTCTCGGCAGCTCCCTTGGCGACTGCGCATACTCTTCTCTCGAAGATCTACATTGACGAGGTCTCTCAGGGTGATGGGACTTGTCTTCGGATGCCCGAGGACGGTAGCAAGACCACTTCTCCAGTCGACGGCCTCGAGAGTGATGACATGGCTTGCGGTACGATACATTTCCTGCCACATCATCTCCAACCATGTCTACGCGGTGCTAATTATGCTAGGCGCAAACGGTGATACACCGGCAGCATTCGTCTGTCCCGCTCCTGCTGGCGCGACACTGACCTTTGAATTCCGCACCTGGCCCGACGCAAGTAACCCTGGAGCCATCGATCCGTCCCATGTTGGGCCCTGCTCCATCTACGTCAAGAAGGTGGATGACCCCCTGAACGACCCGGCTTCAGGAGCCGGCTGGGTAAAGCTATGGCACGAGGGCTACAATGAGGATACTGGCAAGTGGTGCGTCGACAATCTCATCGCCAACAACGGCCTTCTTTCCTTCGAGCTCCCCTCTGGCCTCGCCAAGGGCAACTATCTCGTTCGCTCTGAGATTCTTGCCCTGCACCAAGCGTACAGCAAGGGGGATCCTCAATACTATGTCAGCTGCGCCCAAGTCCATGTAAAGGAAGGACCTCAAACCTTCGACGTGCCGGACAAGTACAAAGTCAGCATCCCTGGCCATGTCGATGGATCGGAAAAGGGCAACACATTCGACGTCTGGGAGCCAAAGTGGCCGTACCTTATCCCTGGGCCGGAGCCGTACTCTCCCCAAGCCGACTCCTCCTCTTCATCCACTGTCTCCACATTCAAGGAATCGGCGTTTGAAGGCGCCATCCCTGGCGATTGTAAGCTCAAGAATGCCAACTGGTGTGGAAAGGCGCTGAAGCCCTACGACACGGATCTCGGATGCTGGGCGGCCGTCGAGGCATGCTTCGCACAGGGCGACAAGTGCTTCAACCCAACACCGCCTACAGGTGTCAAGAACTGCGACTTGTGGAACGAGAAGCTGTGTAAAGTCATTCAGTCGAGGTGCGAGGACGGAGACTTTGAAGGTCCGCCGGAGGTAGAGCTCGAGGAGGTGACGAACCCGGCACCTGGCTACATTCCCAAGGCCGTAAATTCTGGTGCTGCGGACGGATCTTATGAGCCAATTGGTACTGATTTGGATGGCAAGATCTCAAAGGGCGCCGCCAAGGACGAAAGGGTGGTTGACTATACCACGAGCGCCGCTGGAACCGCGTCCACTCCGAAGCCCAAAGTATGCCGAAAGCGAGCCCGTCGCTGAACTTGACCCTTCTGAGGAAGAAGATGCAGTTGACGATAGCAGCGATGCCCCTGAAAACAGCAGTTCCTCTGCCGAAAAGGGCATCGACGATGGTGAACCTGCGGCAAATGGTGACGGCTATGACAATGATACACGTGAAAAGATTTCGACAGTTGGACGTGTGGCGATAAGCTGTTTCACATACTTCGGCAGCGGATTCAGGGATAGCTGTTCTCGCAAAGGCCGGTGCGGTGGCCGTCAGCGCAGGTGAAGATGCGGATGTGAGCCGGGCTTTGGACGTTGCAACGAAGATGACGGAGTAAGGACAAAGTGGGCTTCATGGTTGGTTTCTGTTCGCGACAAGTAAATGGTTGTCGTTCAAGGCTTTGATCATGTCTATTTCAGGAGACGTAGTATGATATCCGCTGAAGGAATTTGGGCCAGTATTCTTGAGTAGCAGGTCTAGTAACATGGCCACGGTTCGAGATTGAGCCTCTTCCCAAAAGCTTCTGGGTCATCTAGAAACAATCAGCCGCGTGAAAACCTTGGAAAAGGGTCACCAAACTCCAAGCTCCAGGATCAGGAACCTCCTGATATCCGCCACCGCCAATGTGACTGTTCGTTCAAGACTGGCCTGTATTCCCTTGGTTTCCAGTGCTGCCTCGAGCGCGACATCAGCAGCCTGCTTGACGTTGCCCTTCGGATCAAGCACCTCTACAACTGGGTGCAAAGCGTCGATTAGGGTGCGATCGCCAGGACGAGTCGGTGTGTATCTTCACAATATGTGACTACCCTTCTTCAGCGCGGATGCCCGAACCTGGGGGCTAGCCTTGTCTGGTGACAGGCTATGTAGTGCAGTGACCAGAGCGTGGAGAACAATGCTGTACAAGGCCCCTGATGTGCCGTTCATGGTGCTCTCGATGGTTAGGATGATGGAGGAAATGTCAACAACGGCGTCCCCGAAAGACCGCCTGCTTGAACATGTCGGAGAACGGCTAGGGTCTTGAGTCGGTCTCGCCCGCGACCCTGACAATACAACGTGGTGGGCTTACCTCCAGCACCCCTCCCTTAAGCTGCTGCACATCCCTGTACGAGGCGAGTGCACGGGAGGCCTGTGTAATGTCGCTACTACACTAAAAGGGGTGATATGCTATGCCGACACCAATACTTCGCGATGAGCCGGCTCCTGGTACAGTTGTTGGCTCAAGCTCTCAAGATATAAAGAAAGCAATGTGACCAGCTCTGTACCGTACCGAAGTTACATCACTAGACGACAAGTTCAAATACTGTTTCATTGATTCGTTAGTAATAGTTGACCAAACAACACGCATCATCGCAATCCGACTAAACATGGGCGCCCAGGACATCCTAGGAGAGCACTTCAATCATGCTATTGATGTTGTCACGGAGAAGCCTCCCTTGCGGAACAGAGTTCGATGCTACTGCTAAGATAGATTCTCAGAGTTCATTGGGGCCTTCATTCTTGTCTTGTTCAGTGGCGGCGTTGTTGCCCAGGTCCTGCTAAGCCGTGGCACAAGGGTGACTTTCAAAGCATCAACTGGGGATGGGGGTCAGTTCTCGGAATGTCCTTCACAAAATCCAGATCACCATCTTCTAATCCTTTTGACAGTATTGGCGTCACGATGGGAGTTTATGGCGGAAGCAAGTCAGTGGGCCACATCAACCCTGCCGTCACTTTGGCCAACTGTGTCTTCCGCGGCCATCCGTGGCGTTAAAACCCAATCTATGCTCTCGCTCAACTGCTGGGTGCCATGGCTGCCGCGGCAGTAAACTATGGAAACTACAAAGCAGCGATCAATATCTTCGAGGGAGGAGCCAATTTCCGACCCGTCACGGGCCTAAAGGCCATAGTGGGTGTGTTCAGCACGTATCCTGCTGCTTTCACGAGCACGACGGGCATGTTCTTCTTGGAATGTATCGCAAGCAACTTCTTGCAATTCGCTCTATATAACATGCTGGACACGGAGAATATTGTGTGGAACTCTTGCTACCCATAGGCGTCTTTT